TTGACTTTATCACCGACACAAGCGTGTTGCCACCACCCACACCCCATACCACCCAACCCACCCATCATCCAATCGCCAACCACAAAACGAACCCCGAACCAAACCGAACCCAAACCGAAGCGAAGTGTATTCAAATGCAATTTGCTCAAAGTGCGCATAAGAATCTCATAAACAAATTAGGCTTGATTTGGTTTTGGTTTTGGTTTTGGTTTCAGTTTTTGTGTGTCTGTGGGAGGGTGGAAGGGAGGCAGCGGGAGGCAGCGGGAGGCTCTGACTCTGATTCTGGCAATCAAAGGCTTAGGCTTAAGGTCACCACTAATAACTTCTTGGAGCGTGGAACGTGCCCGGCACTCGAAAGTTGTAATCCCCCACAGACCGACACGGGGGCAGGGAAACTTGTCGCCAGCCCAGCCCATCCCATCCCCCGGCCCGACTATTGACAGACAATCAGCCACTTGAGAGGAAGCATACGGCCGGCCGTGCGGGACGAGGGCGAAACAAAAAAGCAAACAAAAGAAAACAAAAAACAAAAACACAAAAACAAATACAAAAAAAATAGAACTAGAGCTGAAATCAAAGCCGAACGAACCACAAGATATCACAGATTTTCATTATGAAGCATTTAGGCAAACTCCCAGACAGCCCACAGCCCACATCGCCCATCCCCCATCCCCCATCCCTCATCCTCGGTGTAAGCAAACGGGAGGGGAGTCTGGCTAGCTACATTGTGGTCCAGGTCCAGGGGTTGTCCTGCCCCTGCCCCCGCCTCTGCCACGGTTCGGGTTCGGGTTCGTTTCGGCTTGGCGTTTCCTCTCCGATATCTCCGCAAATTAAATTAGATGCTTAATATGCAGCGGACGTTTCATTTGTTTTGCGGCTAGAAAATCAACGTGGAAAATTAGGCAAACAAAGCTCCGGCAAATCCCAGCGGGCGAAGGATGTGGCGGCACGGCAGTGGCAAGCCAAAGCCAAAGCCAGAGCCAGAGCCCAAGGCCTCTGCCTCGGCCTCGGTCCAAGTTCATGCCAGGAGACGCCAGGAGATGCCAGAAGCTTAACCTCTAATGAGGCGCATTACTTCTGGCCGGAGATTTGAAATCATTATCCCATCGAAACAAATCCGGCTGCTGCTGCCACTGCCACTGCCACTGCCCGGGCATTTGTTAATTTTGTGCAAACATTCGAAACGGGAACGGGAACGGGAACCCATCCCCATGCTTCCCCCTGACCAGCGGCATATCAAATATTGACTGCCAGCTACAGCGGACACTCAACGAGTCCCAGATTATTCTACGGATTTCACTTCTGTGGACTTTTCTCTCTTCGAAATCTGACCACAAGGCAGAGCATAATGCAGTTCTGGCGTGCATGGAAATGATCTTGCACGGATCTTAACTTAAGGAATAATTACACTGCACGACAGTGACTAGGTGGAAGGGGACAGGTTGAATCGATCTCAAATTTCCCATACTTGGAATTTACACCCAAAATGTAAGTAACCCCAAAATTTACCTCTAAAATGTGCCCCCAAAATGTGTTTTTAAAATACCTTAAACCGCGATAATGAAGAATATCATTAGTCATTTATCATTAATAATTAGGTAGTTAAGACTGGAATATAAATAAAACAAATCTGTGCATAGAGAATTTTCTGTTGTTGGTTCATACTAATAAAATATGACCATAAATATTAAATATAATATTAAATATTCAGAAATTTCAGATGTAATATATAGTACGGGAACAATAGAGGAAATCCCTAAATACAATAAATATTAAATATAATATTAAATATTACAGATCTGACATATAGAACGGGAACAATAGAGGAAATCCCTAAATACAATAAATATTAAATATAATATTAAATAATATAAAGTACGGGAACAATGGAAGAAATCCTTAAATACAATAAATATTAAATATAATATTAAATAATATAAAGTACGGGAACAATGGAAGAAATCCTTAAATACAATAAATATTAAATATAATATTAAATAAAAATAATATTAAATAATAGAACGGGAACAATAGGGGAAATCCCTAAATACAATAAATATTAAATATAATATTAAATAATATAAAGTATGGGAACAATGGAAGAAATCCTTAAATACAATAAATATTAAATATAATATTAAATAATATAAAGTACGGGAACAATGGAAAAAATCCTTAAATACAATAAATATTAAATATAATATTAAATAATATAAAGTACGGGAACAATGGAATAAATCCTTAAATACAATAAATATTAAATATAATATTAAATAAAAATAATATTAAATAATAGAACGGGAACAATAGGGGAAATCCCTAAATACAATAAATATTAAATATAATATTAAATAATATAAAGTACGGGAACAAGGGAAGAAACCTAAAAATAAATATTAAATATAATATTAAATAATATAAAGTTCGGAACAATGGAGAAATCCTTAAATACAATAAATATTAAATATAATATTAAATAAAAATAATATTAAATAATAGAACGGGAACAATAGGGGAAATCCCTAAATACAATAAATATTAAATATAATATTAAATATTATTAAGTACGGGAACAATGGAAGAAATCCTTAAATACAATAAATATTAAATATAATATTAAATAATATAAAGTACGGGAACAATGGAAGAAATCCTTAAATACAATAAATATTAAATATAATATTAAATAATATAAAGTACGGGAACAATGGAAGAAATCCTTAAATACAATAAATATTAAATATAATATTAAATAAATATAATATTAAATAATAGAACGGGAACAATAGAGGAAATCCCTAAATACAATAAATAGTAGTCTGATGAGGTAATATGATGATATGATAAAATGCTTAACACTTTCCAAGTAGGGCTTCCCACTGGTGTTTGATGTTCCTGTCCTGCTGTGGCTCCTCCGGCTGCTGCTCGCTCCCTCCCTGCGCTGCCCTGCCCTGCCCGTGTGTCTATGGCTATGTGTGTGTTTGTCTAAGAAATTCAGGCGTGTGCTAATGCCCAAAAACTCTGGCCAAAGATTTGTGCACATGTTTTGGCCAAGTTTCGGAGCTGCTTGCTGCCTGCTGCCTGCTGCCAGCCTTGCCTTGTGCTTTCCTTCCGCTTGGTCCACAAAGTTTTCCAAGAGCCCCAACTACCAACTACTGGCTACTGGTGGTCGTCATCGTCGTCGCTGGTGTTGTTTCTGCCCTCCACCCTTCCACCCATCCCATTGGACTTCTGATGCTGCTGCTGCTGCTGTTGGTTTATCCTAGGGGCACTTTCGGCCACGCTCGGCTGGCTCTTGGCCTGGTCTGGTCTGGTCTCCGGTCTCCGGTCTGCTGTGTAGGATTACAAACTATCTTTTTGTTAGTAATTAGCTGCACACGATAAACGTGACATTATTATTGTTGCCAGTTGTGCAAAAGTTTCGGCTCTGATCTGCTCGGTCGGCCTGGCCCCAGCTGCTGTCTGCCGTCTGCCCCATGCCCCGCCTGCCTCCGCCAGCTCCTACTGCCCCGGCTCTTCGCCTGAGCCTTTGCTTGGCTTGATTTGTTGCCATCGCTGCACATTTGAATTTTTGTGGAGCTGAGCTGAGCTGAGCAGTGCTGTGTGGAGCTCTCTGTTCTCGTTGCCGTTTTACAAATGAGCATTTGTTAAATCAAAAATTCAAGTGGCAACGCCGCACTCCGGCGCCAGAGACAGACCCCCATAGCCATAGCCATAGCCATGGCCAATGCAGCAGCCAGTGCAATAGCCACAGAAACAGAAACAGCAACAGCAACAGCCACTGCCAAAGCCAGGGACATCCCGAAGAGAAATGATCAATTTTGAACTGGCGGCGTCCGTCTTGGCTCCTCTGCGCTCCTCCATCATGTCTGGTAATTTATGCCCATTTATTGTGTGGTTGCTCCTACCGTCTTGGCCTCGTCTTGTGGTTACTTGTTGCTTGTTGTTGTTGTTGTTTTGGATGGACCTGGAACAGGCGGCGGCCCGCTGTCGCTGCCGCTGCATCTGGAGAGAGCAATCACCAAATTTGCATACATATGTACGAGCATGTCCAGGATCTGATTCAAATACACATTCCGCTTCACTCACCCTGTCCTGGGTACTGCTCTGGCTCTCTGACTGGCTCTCTGACTGGGTCCAGGGCGGAGTCCGAGTCCGAGTCCGCGTTCGAGGCCGCGTTCGAGTCCGCGTCTGGGGTCAATTTCAATTTGTGGTCGCTCCATGGAGAAGCGGCGACAAATCGCTGGCAGTGGCGCCATTTCTGCAGATATATTTCGTATGTACTCCCCAATGATTGTCTCGAGTGCAGCAGAAGATTACTGCCATCATCCTGGGGCAGTTCCAGCATATACTTCTGATCAGCGGCTACCCACTTCGTATTTTTATATTCTTCGTCCTTCTAGATTTTTGCATTTAATTTCCTCCCCTGAGGCATAGATTTTGACACTAAATATGATCATACAACTCCAGAGAAAAATGGTAAAAAAAGCCCCCCCCACATTTAAGTCATATTTAAATGAAACATTTAGCTTTTAAATAATCAAATTAAATATATTTCGAATCAATTTTTAAATGTGAGTGTAAATTTTAAAGTTTTTGTAGTGTTTTTTGTTTGTTTCAATGTCAAATATATCCTGATTGAAATGAGGCTTACAGTGGGACATCTACGGGGCATATGTAAGTTGTTTGGAAGCTACGACTAAAGGTGCTGCGGAACACCTACAGGGCACATTTGATTGCTTTATTTATTGATTTATTTATTTATTTATTTAGCATAAAGCCAGTGGGAGAGATACTTACACCGCCGCTACGACAATATCCTGTTATCCCCTCACTGCACATTTATTCAGCAGCAGAGTTAATGTACAATGACCCTACCATCAGCCATTCACAGCTTTTAAGTGTGCCTTTTCCAGGCAAAATGGCAGAACCTAGACCGAGTGGCGCTGCCGCATTACGCGCGATGCCTTCACACCGTTTAACAATGGCACGCACACTTATATGTATGTATAAACTGTTCATTTATTAATGCATACGTATAATAACAAATATATTCAATATGATATCTGTACACCAGCATTAATGTACACCACACGAAAAATAGAAACTGTCGAACGTTGTGTTAGTAAAAACCTTAAAGAATAGTTGCTCAGATCGTCACCCCCAGACGTTCCACCCGTTCCCTCTGGTGTTATTTATTATTAATAATTAATTTTCTTTCTTTTTGGTATTTCTACTAGAAGCATTTTTTGGCTTAAACTTGCCCAAGTGCCAGCATCCAGCATTAACAATTGAAGCAGAGCTGGTAGATGGTAGATGGTAGAAAGATTGCTTTGTGCCTGTTTTAACAATGTGCAACAACACTCCAAAATCACCGAAATATCATCCAATATATGTGCATATATGTACATGCCGTATGGCTATAGCTACAACATATATATATATGGGCTATGCTCGTAGGGGTTATTGTATCTGGATTAATTGACGCACGTTCACACACGCAGGAAAACAAAACAGAAATCATACTTAAACAGAAAGAGAGGCGCATATCAGATCGGATCATATCAGATCAGCTGTGGGAAGGGCGGTGGGGCGGTAGGGAGATTCAATGATTGAGCAAACAAGTATTATTATTGTTGTCTCCCAATCCGACATATTGGCAGGCCCTCCCTCTGCCCGTCTCCTTTTATATCATTCACTACGTCAAAATAATATCGCTTGGCTTTTGAGACTCTCGAGTTAATCTAGAAACGAACGAACGAACGACCGATGCCCGATGCCCGATGCCCGAGCATATGGCTATCGGGGATGAGGACTTTGTCCTGGACTATCCGCTCAGGGGCCGCCGCCGCCCCTTGTCACCGTTGTCAGATTGGAGCCGAAGGACAAGAGATCCGCCTGATCGGGCTTGTCGCGCGTCGCATGGTAGGCCTCGCGCTCGCGATCCGGGAACTTGGTGGGCAGATTGGGCGAGTGCAGATTCACCTTGGCCTCGAACCGGACGCCGGCCACCTCCACCTCATAGTGGCCGGAGAGGATGTAGTCATTGGTCACGGCCAGCTCGCGGCCCTGCTCATCGAAGTTGCGCACAAAGCCGAGACAGACCTGCTTCTCGAACGTGTAGCCGTAGCCGGTGGTGGTGGTCATGCCCACGTAGACGCCGTCCCGGTAGATGGGCTCGCCGCCCCAGCACCACATGTCCACCTCGTGGTCGTGATCGTTCAGCAGCAGCTGCACATACATGCGCTTGACGCCCTCCTCCCGTTGCTTCAGCAGGGCATCCCGTCCAATAAAGTCCACGGGTTTCTGCAGGAGGAAGAACACAAGAGCACAAGGAATATGGCGAGTACTTTGCAGCCCCCGTGCGCCCCATTCTCACATTGAACTTGACTCGCCAGCTGCGCCCACACTCCAGGGGCGTGGTGAAGGTGTCCAAGTCCTGGCCCCAAAACGCGTAAAACTTCTCAATGCGCAGCGCCCGTGTGGCATAGTAGCCTGCAAGGTGGCAAGATGGCAAGGATGCATAACGATGGCAGAGGACGGGTTCGATTCGACTGATCACTCACCCGCGTGCTTCATGTTGAACTTGTGACCAGCCTGATAGAGCCGCGAGTAGACGTGCAGCGCGTACTCGTTGGGTATGTACAGGACGTAGCCCAGCTCGCCCGTGTGGGTGATGTTCAGCACGCGTATGCCGTCGGCCAGGCCCACGTCGAGTTCCTGCAATGAGATGCGAATAGGAGGAATTGCCGATCAGTGCAGCACCTCCCCAGCCAGAACTCACCTTGTAGGTGAAGAAGGGAAAGTTCTTGGGCGTGAGATCCGTGTCGGTGAGCTCGGAGAGCAGGATGCGCGAATAGGGGCCCAGGATGCAGATGGCCGTGTACATGGAGGTGACGTCCGCCACATTCACCTTGGCCCTCAGGTGATCCGGCATGTGCTTGCGTATCCAGCACATGGATCGCGTCTGCTGTATGGTGGGGGCAATCATCATGTAGCTAAGACGGAACACGGATTCGATATGGATATGGATATGGATTAGTATGAGGCGGAGCATGGCGAAGAGAGTGCACTCCATAGCTTACTGTCGCTCCGACAGCCTGGCCAGCGAGCAGTCGTTCTCGTAGCCGCCGTTGTGGTTCTGCATGCCCGTGTGTATGATGGAGCCCACGGCCACGTCCACGTCGTTCGAGCAGAGATACTGCAGCAGCTCGACCACCTCGTTGCCCTTCGACCAGAAGTCGTACTTGGTGAACGAGCTGTAGTCGGCGATGCCGACACGCTCGCGGCAGGCGCGATATTCGGAGGCCACGTGGTCGAACCAGGGCGGCTTGCCAAAGGTTCGTGTCTGGGCAATGCGGAACCGTGGCAGACCAAACTCATCTATGAAGGGGGAGGATTAAACAGATTACACAGATTACAGCGAGAACTATGTACCCCCTACTCATAGTGCCTGCCACCCACCTTTCTTGTCCTGCTGGTCGAAATAGTTGGCCCGCTCGTAGCCCATGGACTGGCCAAAGACGGCGCCGGCCTCCTTCAGCTGCGGATAGATGGGCGACATGCGCAGGTTGCGTCCCGTCTGGAACTCCTCGAAGGGGTAGTTGATCTCAAAGTGCTTGCCGGGCGCCTCCTTGCAGCGGTCGCGCAGGAACTTGCGGTTGTTGTGCAGCCCCAGGAAGCGGCTGATGTCGAGGATGTGCAGATCGAGGAACGTGGAGCCCTTGGTGATGAGATCGGTGAGGACGCGGCCGATGCCGCCGGACGCGGACACGCCCATTGTCTTGTTGCCGGCGGCCACATAGTAGTTCTGGATCTCCGGCGCCTCGCCCAGTATCCACTTGCAGTCGGGCGAGAAGACCTGCAGCGAATTGGTCAGCCTGTCGAGCTTGGCCTGCCGGAACGAGGGCACGCGCACCAGCAGGGCGTCCAGCAGCTCGTGGAAGTGGTCCCAGTCCGGCGGGAACTGGCGTGCCGTCTGCGACAGGGGGATTATCCCGTCCTCGTACACCATCTTCGCCTCGCGCTCGAAGCCGCCGGCCAGGATGTGGCCCTCGCACTCCCGGAAGAAGATGCGCCCGTCGAAGTCGCGCACAAACGGCGTGTTCGGATCGAGGCCCTCTATGGGCTGCGTGTGCAGATAGTGGTGCTCCACCGCCTTCAGGGGCACCTTCACCACCGGCTTGGACAGCGTGCCCACCTCGCGGGCCCAGAATCCGGTGCAGTTCACGAAGTACTCGCAGTCGACGTCCCCGGCCGTCGTCTCCACCCGCTTCACCTTGCCGTGCTCGCTGTGGATCTTCTTGATGGCGCAGTGCTCGACGATTTGGACGCCCAGGCGGCGGGCCTCGTCCACGTAGGCGTGGCACACCAGATGGGGATCGCAGACGCCGTCCTCGGGTATCCAAAGGCCGCCCTGGATGCCGTCCAGCGAGAGCAGCGGGCAGTGCTGCTGGCACTGCTCGGGCGACAGGATCTCGCAGTTCATGCCCCAGGCCACGGCCTGCGACTTCATGCGGTTGAACGAGGTCATCCGGTCAAAGTTGCGGGCCAGGTTGAGGCTGCCCACCTGCCGCCAACCGGTGGGCAGGCCGCGCTCCGTCAACCGCTTGATCAGATCGATGGAGTACTCGGCCAGCTTCAGCTCCGTGTAGCTCGGCTCGAAGCGTCCCGCCAGGCCGCAGGCGCTCCACGGCAGCTCTCCGCCCACGCGGTCCTGTTCGATGAGCAGCGTCTCGCCGCCCCAGCCCTGCAGGCCCAGGTGGTAGGCCACCGAGGCGCCCGTGATGCCGCCGCCGCAGATGACGACGCGCGCCCGTCCGGGCAGCTGGCCAGCCAGCTGCTCGCTCGCATCGGGCGACTGCTGGGGCTGGAACTTGCGCTTACGCAAGACTTGCTCATCGGCAGGATCCGTGTGCCCGGCGGCTACACTCAGTGAGCGCGTGGCCCTGCCACTGTGGCCACTCCACACATGTCCTCCGGCTGGGATCGAGCGGCCCAGTCCTCCGATCACCACCCTATACATGGCTCTCGCTCTCCGCGTCCGGTTTCGGGTTCGGGTCCGGGCACTTCCCACACACGCCGAGCGCAGGTGTCACAAGACCCCGAAATATCACTACGCACTCGGACTCGGGCAGGGATTGATGGACAGGAGATGGGGAATGCACCTGGGCATGTAACGGGATACGTTGATTGTCTGCTGGCTGATCTAGAGGGACACTAGTGCTGGGGGCAGGTGCAAAATCTCTAACGACTGCTGAAAGTGTGCAATTTAATTAAAAGACGATTGCGCTACAATACCAGGGCAGGGTGGCCATCGGTATTATCTTATCACCGCAGCCCTGGCACTTTGTTTACGTTTTTCTATCAAATCAGCTGACCGCGAACTTATCCCGTCTGACCCTCAGAAATATACCTTCTCATGTTCAAAATATACCGTAAATATACCGTTTTGCAAGTGCTGCAAAATGAAAAATTTGAGAGGTTGCCAGACTCGCAGATGGTAGGGCTGGAAAACATTTGCATCGAAAAGTTTTATAATTTAAAAAATAATAGCCCATCGATGGTTTTGCAGCCCTATTTCAAGGTACAAATCGCTGCACAGGTGGTATTTTGTTTGTTGCATCTATAAGTGAAGCGAGACGAACCGAGGCCCCAGATGCTGCGCTTACTCGTGTCCAACTGCAGCCGCAGTGATCCGCTCAGGTAAATGGCATCGCTGGCTGGCCAGACAGCCCCCCCGTCATGGCCATGGCCAGCCATGGCACGGCGCCTGTCCAAAGGTTGACTCGTGCGTGCTCGAGCCCCCCTTATGTCATCATAATCAGTTTGATTTATCGCTGTCATTGATTGTTTACAGTCGATGCCACCTGCTGCCCCACCTTCCACTGCCACTAACACTGCCCCGGCGGGAGCTGAGCAGCCGCCTTCAGAATGCCACACGCCTCCTGCGACAGCATGTCAAAAAGGATGTGCGGCCAACGCCTCCGCCTCCTCCGACCACAACGAACGCCAGCCGCCTGCTACAGACCACACGCGCCCTGCTCTGGGGCGGTGGCAGTCTCACCCTGGGCCTGGGCGCACGCAGCTGGTGGGCAGGACGGACGTCCGTACACTGCGAGGGCAGCCGCCTGTCGGGCATGCAGCACAGCCTGGCGGAGGATGAGGCGGAGGATCACAAGTTTGACTGGAAGCGCCTCTGGTCGTACCTGGAGCCACATCTATGGGAGCTGATAGGGGCCATAGTCGTGAGTGTTAGAGCTTATAGGGCTCCCGTTGCCAATTTCAGTCTATATTCCCATGTCCAACCCACGTCCAGGCAGCCCTCATAGTGGCCTTCATCAACATACGAATACCGAACATCCTGGGGGATCTGGTGAACACGCTGGCCCGCTACGGCAACACCTATGTGATGGACCCCATCCACAATTCGTTTGTGAGGGACGTGAGCAAGCCGGCCACCAATTTGCTCAGCCTGTACATGCTGCAGTCGGGGTTCACGTTCGTGTACATTTATCTGCTGAGCCGCGTGGGCGAGCAGGTGGCGGCCAGGATGCGCCAGGATCTGTTCAAGCAGATCGTGCTGCAGGACATTTCCTTTTTCGACGAGAACCGCACCGGGGAGCTGGTCAATCGGCTCACCGCCGACGTGCAGGACTTCAAGACCTCCTTCAAGCAGTTCGTGGCCCAGGGACTCCGCAGCTCAGCCCAGCTGATCGGCGGCAGCATCTCCCTGTTCCTCATCTCTCCCCACATGGCCGCCATCGCGCTGGCCAGCGTGCCCTGCGTGGTCACATTCATGTCCTATCTGGGCCGCAAACTGCGCTCCCTCAGCAAGAGCTCCCAGGCCCAGGCGGAGCGGGCAACAGGTGTCTGCGAGGAGGCCCTCTCCAACATCCGGACGGTCCGCTCGAGTGCCTGCGAGTACAGCGAGATGCAGCTCTTCGAGTCGGAGACGAACGAGGCCGCCCGCCTCGCCCAGGAGCTGGGCTACGGCATTGCCGTCTTCCAGGGGCTCACCAACTTCTTCCTGAACACCCTCGTGCTGTCCACCCTGTTCATGGGCGGCCACCTGATGTCAACCGAGAGCCTCACGCCCGGTGCCCTGATGGCCTTCCTCGTCGCCTCGCAGGGCGTGCAGCGGTCGCTCTCGCAGGGATCCATCCTCCTGGGCACCATGATCCGCGGCATGACCGCCGGCAGTCGGGTGTTCGAGTTCCTCTCGCTGGAGCCGGAGGTGGACCTGCTGCGTGGCTATGTCATACCCCAGGAGCGGCTCCATGGAGAGATACGGTTCGAGAACGTGTCCTTCTCCTACCCCATGAGGCCGGACCATGTGAGTATCCGTCGGTCCCTATCCATGGCCAAATGAACGGCCCCCAAATAAACCCCGTTCTGTGGCTCGCTTCAGGTTGTGCTCAAGGACTTCACATTGACGCTGCGACCCGGCCAGACGGTGGCCCTGGTGGGGGCGAGTGGCTCGGGCAAGTCCACGATAGCCGCCCTAGTGGAGCGCTTCTACGAGCCCACCTCGGGCAACATCAAGCTGGACGGGTACAAGCTGTCGGACATATCGCCCTACTGGCTGCGGGCCAACGTTCTGGGCTTCATAGAGCAGCAGCCCATACTGTTTGGCACCTCGATCCTCGAGAATATCCGCTACGGGAAGCCGGATGCCGGCGAGAAGGACGTCTTCGAGGCGTCCAAGCTGTCGCAGTCGCATGAGTTTGTGACGGCTCTGCCGGACGGATACAGCACGCATGTGGGCGAGCGCGGCACCCAGCTCAGCGGTGGACAGCGGCAGCGGATCGCCATTGCCCGGGCCCTGCTCAAGAATCCGCGCGTCCTTATACTGGACGAGGCGACGAGCGCCCTGGACGCCACCAGCGAGGCGGAGGTGCAGAAGGCCCTCGACACGGTCGTGCAGAACCGCACGACCCTAGTGATAGCCCACCGTCTGTCCACCATCAGGAATGCGGATCTAATTGTGGTCCTCGACCAGGGACACATTGTAGAGGTGAGTAATCGGACGCCCCCCACCCCCATCGCTGAATACTCATGCTAACCTCCCCTCTCAGTCCGGCAGGCACGGCGAGCTGATGGCCAAGCGGGGCCTCTACTACGCCCTGGTGCGCCAGCAGGAGCGACGCGACATCCAGGAGCAGCAGGAACACGCCGTGGAGGCGGTCGCAGCCACGACGCAGACGGCGGCATCCGTACCCGTACCCGCACCCTCTGCGGAGGAGGAGCAGGAGGGAAGGCCGAGCACGGCCCAAGGCTGAACTGAACGACATGAAAATGATTCCCCGTATATTTAATTTATGAAATTGTTAATTTTTTCATTTATTTTCTATTTTTTTTTAATTCCAATTGACCAACAATAGCCCCTGGCACGAGACGCTTACGATAAGTTTACAATAAATAAAACGCTGAAGACAGTATTGTTTTTGTTACAAAAAAGAAACCAGTATTTTCATATATGTATCTATTTAATTTTAATTAAGGTTTAATTAATCCTGGAAATATTTCAAAAAATTCCTTTAAATGATAACAGAAAACGGTTAACAGAGCAGAGTTAACAGAACATCACTGATATGTGACTGACGTCACATTTCGTAAACACTTATGACCTTTGTTGTTTGAACCTTAGCATGTAAACAATACAATAAAACAGACTCCTTAAAAATAAGCAATCTTTTCAAAAATTGATTCATGACTTCGATAAAATTATTTGTTTAGGGCTGAGAGAGCTAACTAGCTAGTAATATTAAATCGAATATCAAAATCGAGGAATTCGACACGCATCTTGTCGTGTCCGTCAGTATATTTACGTTACATTGTGATCATGTGATGGTATATTTAGGTATATTTCTGAGGGTCAGGCGGTATATTTGTTCGATAAGTCCGCGGTCACACTGGTCACTAGTTTCATTTTTGGTTTGTTTTTTTGTTTTTCTTGTTTGTGTCGATTATTTAAAATTATAGCCCAAGCCCCCACACACCCTCCACCTTCCGTGGCACTAGTCCTAAGATGTTAGCTGGACTGCAGGATTCAAAGCAACTAAACGGAGAATATCAACAAATGTGGAAATGCGTTAAATCCACAGCAGTACCGATACATACAAACAATTATGTAAGTGTGTGTGCGTGTGTGTGTGTGACTATGTATATTATTAATAACAATAGACGCTCATGCGGGCAAAAAGTTGTTTAAAACAACAACAACAACAAAACGAGAAGATGAAGCATTAGGATTCCCGTTCCCCCACACACATTTTTGAACTTGTGTGCATCAGCCATGCACGTGTATGTGTGCGTGAATAACTTGGCACAGTGGTATGCATGGATTTTCCAATTGGACTGCAAACAAAACAAAAAACAAACACAGGAATTCTAGCAAGTGATTCTCTTTTATTAATTAATGAAGTGTAACCAAAATACATATGTGATGATGTGATGGTTGGTTCCTGTAGGCTGTTCTCATACGGATTACATTACGCATTGAGTAACTACCTGTGGCTACCGATAGATATGTACAAATGTGACGAAACGTATACCATTTCCAGTGTGTCAACCACTGTGCATTGCCTTTGCTTTTGTTTTGTGTTTGGCGGCGCATTCGTCATTTGCCTTGGCTGGGGACGGGACGGGACGACACACAACAACTACAGTTACCTTGCGCGGCACCACAGCTCTGCTCAGCTCAGCTGTAAGGTGTTGTGCCATTTTGAATGCATATGAAAGTCATTCCCCGCACACGCATACCAGAATTATTTTCTCTCGCTCTCACTCTCACTCTCTCTCTCCCTCTGTATTCTGTCTCTTTCTACTGCAGTGTTAACGTAATCGGGAGCAAACAGATACATAACATTCCACATTCCATGCATCAGCAGCAGCACCAGCGCCATCGAGGGGGCAATGGTGCATCGGCCCGCGAAGCAGGCGCACGGGGAGCAGGATCAGGAGCAGCAATGTCACAGTGCGGCAACTGTCACGACCAGCTGCTGCCCCACCAGGAGGAGCCGGTTGTGATGGCCCTCGGGCAGCAGTGGCACTGCGACTGCTTCCGCTGCTCCGTGTGCGACAGCCACCTCCACAACTGGTACTTTGAGCGCGAGGGCCTGCTCTACTGTCGCGAGGACTACTATACGCGGTTCGGCGATGCCTGCCAGCAGTGCACGGCGGTGATTACGGGACCCGTGATGGTCGCCGGCGAGCACAAATTCCACCCGGAGTGCTTCTGCTGCACGGCCTGCGGATCCTTCATCGGCGAGGGCGAGTCCTATGCGCTGGTGGAGCGATCGAAGCTCTACTGCGGCCACTGTTACGGGAAGAGATCGTGCCAGCCGATGCCGGCGGATGCCAAGGCACGAATAACGACAGCCGGCAAGCCGATGCATTCCATACGCCTCGTCGAGATACCCAAGGATGCCACGACCGGACTCCGCGTGGATGGGGTCTCCCTGGACGATGGCTGTCCCTCCGTTCGGATAACAGAGTAAGCTTATTATCCCTTGATCTCTCTCTCTCCCATCCCCTCTCCATTGATCCCCTCGCTGCCTTTAATAACCGTTGCTCGGGCGCCGCTCCTCTGTCTCATCATACCATCTCCTGTCTCTTTCTAACTCGCATCTGCCCATCTCTTTCTAACACATGCTTGCATATGCCGAAAAAAAGTTTAATTTGTAATTTTTACGGCCGATTGGGCGCGCACGCCTTCGCGTGGCTGAGCGCCGTGGCGGATCATTGCTGCGGTGCAATCTATAGGTAATCTGTAGGCCGATCCTCATCCCCCCCCTGTCTGAGCAACCCCCTCTAATCCCCACCTCTGTGTGTTCGCTTTGTGCACAGGATCGATGTGAATCTGACGAATCTGCATATCGGGGACCGCATCCTGGAGGTGAATGGAACGCCGGTGAACGACTCTTCGGTGGAGCAGATCGACAAGCTGATACGCAGCAACGAGAAGATGCTGCAGCTCACGGTGGAGCACGATCCGGTGCAGGTGTGCCGCTCCTGCAGCCAGGCGGACATACAGAGAGCCTGCTCCGCCTCCACACTGGTCCTGCCGCTCAGCACATCGGCTTCCAGCGTGGAGGTGGGCGGGCGAGAGCGGGAGCGTCTCTACAAATCATCTGGTACTGGGGCCGAACAGAGTGCCAAGGCGAGGAAACTGCGACAGGCCACGAATGCCACATCCTCCACAACGACAATGACAACGACACCAGCAGCAGCAGCAGCAGCAGAAGCATCAGCAGTGACAGCCGAGGCAGCGGCCGGGGCCGGGGCAGGAATCCACACAACAGCACACATGACACAGTTCAAGGATAAGGAGCGCTGCTCGAGCATGTCCAAGCTACTGGATGACCAGCACACCGCCCAGCAGCACTCGGCCCATCCGCAGCTGTACGATCTGTCGCGGACGCAAAGCTGCCGCGTCGTGCAGAAGCCGCAGCGCATTTTCCGCGCCTCGGATCTGGTGATTGGCGAAAAGCTGGGCGAGGGCTTCTTCGGGAAGGTGTTCAAGGTGACGCATCGGCTCAGCGGCGAGGTGATGGTGCTCAAGGAGCTGCACCGCGCCGACGAGGAGGCACAGCGCAACTTCATCAAGGAGGTGGCCGTGCTGCGGCTGCTCGACCACCAGCACGTGCTCAAGTTCATCGGAGTGCTCTACAAGGACAAGAAAGCTGCACATGGTCACCGAATACGTGGCCGGGGGCTGCCTCAAGGAGCTGCTGCACAACTCCAGCGAGTCGCTCAGCTGGCCGCAGCGCGTCTGCCTCGCACGGGACATTGCCTGCGGCATGAGTTACCTCCATTCAATGAACATCATCCACCGGGACCTCAACTCGATGAACTGCCTGGTGCGCGAGGATCGTTCTGTGATCGTGGCCGACTTTGGTCTCGCCCGGAGTGTGGATGCACCGCGTCTGCCGTACGGCGGGGCATCTGCAGCTGTAACTGGAGCTACTGTGGCAGCTACTGGAGGCAGCGACGCCATGTCGCCCAGCAGCACTCTGAGGCGAAGCAAGAGCCGACAGCGAAGGCAACGCTACACGGTGGTGGGCAATCCCTACTGGATGGCCCCGGAGATGATGAAGGGCCTCAAGTACGACGAGAAGGTCGATGTATTCTCCTTTGGCATAATGCTCTGTGAGGTAAGCCACAAGTCCCAAACTGATTCAAGCCGTTCTTCAATCTGACATGTGACACGTCTCCCTTGCAGATCATTGGACGCGTGGAAGCGGACCCCGATTTCATGCCCAGGAACTCGGACTTCAGCCTCAATCAGCAGGAGTTCCGCGAGAAGTTCTGCTCCAGTTGTCCGGAGGCCTTCGTCAAGGTGGCGTTCGTCTGCTGCGACCTCAATCCGGACATGCGGCCCAGCTTCGAGACGCTGCACGTGTGGCTGGAGCAGCTGCGCCACCATCTGACCACCGAGCGACTGCCGCCCGTCCGCCTGCTGCACGAGATCGAGAACTTCCACGAGAACTACCTCAGCTCGGAGGACGCCCTGTCGCCCACCTCCCAGCGCAGTCTGGACAATCTCGATGTGCTCGTGACCAATTCTGTTGAGGAGCCCAGGGCCCAGAGCCCAGACATCGATGCGAACGATGTGGACGATGCCCTCGAATCGCCGTCGAATCAGGAAAAGGAAAACCTGGTCATTCGTCCGCAGGAGATACCCAAGTCGCCACATCTGGGGAAGGATTTCTCGCCCAGCGGCGAGCGGCTGCGGGACAGCATGCGTGCCCGTCGCCGGCAGCGCTTCCTGGGCGCCCAGGAGGAGCGGCGCACTGTCACCCCGGAGACCCACTCGACGGAGCGGGCCCTCAAGCAAGCCCTGAAGAAGTGCCGACCCTTCGGCGAGAAGGGCTACCTCGTCGATCTGCGTCCCGGCGCGGAGCTGCAGTTGCACGACGTGCGCGACCTCAACAACTACTCGGATGTGGACTCCAGCTGCGACACGAGCCTCAATTACCACGAGGTGAATGCTCCCACTCCCACTCCCACGTTGCCCGAGCCCAAGGAGGAGGCGATCCAGGAGGCTGAAGCAGCAGTGTCCCCGCCGCGAGCCCCAGCCCCTGAGCCAGAGCACCGCATGGCCATCGATGATATGCGGACGCGCCTGTACCAGTGCCGCAGCAAGTTCGAGCACCTGGAGGAGGCGAGCCGCCGCAACTTCAGCCAATCGCAGAGCTCTATGCGCAACTTCTTCAAGACACCGCCGGTGGCCCTGAAGATGTTCCAGCGGCTGGAGCACGAGGCCGCCGCCGCCGGCCTCAATGGCAACTGTCCCCCGCCGCCGCCTCGCACCCAGCGGATCAATCAGACGCCCATCTTTGGGCGCCGCAATCCGCCGGCAGCGACACAGCAGCAGCTCCAGCAAGCTGAATCCCTCGAGAATCTGGCCACGAACACGAGCGGGCATGGCAAGCAAACACCGGCACCGGCGCCCAAGCGGAGCAAGGCCGCCACCACCAGCAGCAGCAGCCAGATCACCGGCCCCGCTGAGGTGCATGGACTCTTGGCTGCAGCTCCGTCCGGATCTCCGCTTCTCTTCTATCCAATGGCCAGTGGCAGTAGTCCGGGAACAGCAGCAACAGCAGCATCAGCAGTCCCTCCGGATTGGCTGCCCAAGAAGCACAAAATGACGCTGCCGCTGCCGCCCCAACGGTCCAGCAACCAGCGCCAGCCTTTGGGCAGCCACAAGGCAAAGCCGGCCAAAGGCCCCTTCAGTCGTTCGTATGCCCAGCCGCCACACACGCCCCCCAGCAACTGCAATGCGTCGCCCACACGGCCCCGGCCTGGATCACCCAGCAAGCATTTGGCCCAAAGGCACACGGCGGCCACGGCCCAGCGCCTGAGCAACGGTACGAGCAGATATTTAAGATTAATTGTGAATCAATCTTTAACGTTATTCCTCTCTTTGCAGTTGTTCCCGTCCATCAGCAGCAGCAGCCGCCGCATCAGCCCTCGTCGAAGACGACCCGTCTGAACATCCTCAGTCCGGAAAGGGTGCATCGTCTGGGGGCACGACTCAGCGACCAGAAACAGAAAATGCGCGAGGAGGCAGCCACGGCAACAGGCGGCGGTGGAGGAGCTGGTGGTGGAGGTGGAGCGCCCACATTGGCGGCCGTCAGCAATGGTCATGGACGGTCCGGGCTGGCCGGTGTGGCAGGTGGTGCCGCCGGGGAGAGACGCAGGAGACCACCGCCGCCACCGCCAGTGCGCAATCATTTCAACACGCGCTGCTAGCTGTTATACAGAGAGAAGGCGATGGGAAAAGTCCGGTAAGCTGTTATAAACAGCGGTTCCACTGTTATACACAGCTACAATAGCTCTAACTGTTATACGCACAAGGTAGACACACACACACACATACACATCATATAACACATTCCAACCGAATCCACAAATCGACTAGCGGTATGCGAACGATAGGAAGAAGCTGTGGACACGTATAACAGTAATGCTCCAGCTAAACCGATAACCGTTCTACCCGTGCAGTGCTCTCCGTCATGGAATGGATACGAATCATAACGAAGGTTAAGTGCCTGCGCAAAAGCGAAACAAATTCGAGTTGCAATATTTACAAATTACGCGTTATAAATCCAATTGTATAATGTAATATAGAATCGAATAGAAACCCCCCCCTCCCCATCCCAAAACCCCCCAAACAGAACAACTAATGCTAGTGCTTAAGTTACTGTAACAGGCTCCTCCGAACCGACTGTTACTAAACCGGCCTAACCCCGAACGAAAAGAAACAAACAAACAAAATTCACTCATCTACTAAGTATATTTAGTATAAACTGCTAAGCAATAGACATTTTACACGATTTAACCGAACGAGAACGAGAACGAGCAGATGAAACGTAAACTTGTGCCATGCCCAGTGATGCAATATGATGGAATCCTGGGATTGCGAGAGATATGTATACTTACTATGTTACTATATGTATTTGGCGAGGAGAGAACCCACCCAACAAAATGAAAGAAAAAAAGACATTAATTACATACATACATTTTATTAGAAAATTGTGGTTAAAATGTGTATTTTTATATATATACAATACGATAATTCCAAAAAAAATCGACTATTCATATATGATATCTACACATACACATACATATGTATATGTGTGTATGTACTTGTATTCCATGTTAGTGCTTAAATCTAATTTATTATATTTCGATCGATTCCCCATGAACAATAATTAATAGCATTTTGTATTGAGAAACAAAAGTCTAACTTGAATGTACTACAATAATAATAATACTATTATGTAAGTGCATACATACATACATATGTATATGCGAAAACGTTTGCTCAAAGAAGGCATCTTAAGATCTTAAGGCACACACACACGCACATTGCTAACTGTTATACCCAACAAACATACTTACTACTTAATTCTGTTGAAGGAATATGAAAACAGAAAACTGTTATGCTGTACTTGATATACGATATAAAATGCTTGTAATTAATATACAAATGTGGATATGTATGGGGTATAGCTTCATTTCCATATGACACTGGAGTGTGTGTGTTATACGGTATAATAACTAGATATGACAGCATAATGATCGTGTGCTTCAACTGACACATGATTGTTATACAGTATAACAGTTGCATCACAGACTAAACACAATGCTTTCTAACGTTCAAATTGCCATATAACACTAAGTGTGTGAAATGCAACTGTTATGCAGGTGTTATACAGTATACCAGTTTCTGCACAAATCCACACACTCGCGCCTCTCAATGTTTGACTAAAATCTTTAACTAGTATTTAATGAAAATAAAAAAGAATATTTGTGGATATTTTTATACATGTAAATACATATGTACATATAAACGCAGTTGATAATTATTATATTTAATTCTGGAAGAAAATCCAACGCCCCCAAACCCCCACAACCTACCAGCATTCCCTCCTTATTGGAATTAATTTTTTTTTCTGTTATTAAAAAAAGGGAAAATTGAAAACTTAATAAAAAAAAAAATTCAGAAACACACTTTATAATCGTTGAATAATTTATCCATTGCGTGGGTGCTCTGCTAAACAGATGCTCAGTAAGCACTGTGGCAGCATAGACGAAGGCCGCCTCGACAAAGACATACCCTGTACTTATACAGTGTGAGAGGTGAGAGGAGAGAAAGTATCATAAATTTCGATGTTCTGCGTTCTGTTTAAAATTAGAATAAACCTTTGCAAAGGGTAAAAAAAGAAGTTACTTATCCTACAGGACCACCTCCTCCGCATCCCCTCACAGCCACAAATGCACCGTTACGAGGTCGTTACGTGTCGTGTGTATCTGGCGGCGTTACGCATTGCACTTTTCCAGGAAGCGCTTCCTGACACGCACACACACCTACGCAAATGCACTGGCGTACGTACATATTAATGTACATACATACATACACAAATATGTATGCACATATTTATGTGCGTGGAGTGGGGTATATTTACATATGTATGTATGTACATACCACACAGCACGACAGGTTGTATCCATCGTGGAATTTGTCCCAGACCATGGTTTAAATGGATCGATAAAGGCCAACAGCCCAGGACAATGCATACACACCCACACACAAGCAACGAGAGAGACAGAGAGAGAGAGAGAGAGGGATGCCTGCCTACGTTGTACAATGGAAATCAATGCAGTTCGTAAACATGCGCAATGGATTTTCACATTTTCACTTCACTTCCTTTTTCCTGAATCCGTCGTCCCCATATAAATACTATGTACATATGTATGTATGTATGTTTGCACAGTATAGTGCGCGGCGCAGCTTAATTCTGATAAATCAGCTGTTCGCTGCTCGTGAGAGAGAGAGAGAGAAGAAAGCCCACAGCGCATGCAATGACATATTCAAGGTCTACATTCGTGTATCGATACCCAAAGAGTGTCGTGTCCCTTCAACATCCAACCCCCACCCACCCATGCTCTTCGTGCATGCATGTACGTATACATACACAGAATATGAAAGCACACAAACATATGTACATACAAATGTACACTTTGCCTGTATCCCATGACACGAACACGAACACAACACACAACACCCACCCCCAATAGTCGTCACCATAGTTGGCAGCCCTGCTCTCTGTATACCCAGTACGGTATGGACTAAATGGGGCATACTACCACCCCCGAAAGTTTATACTTTCTTGATCACCATTCATAATGGCAAAGTTTTAATTGGCGGCTACATCCTGTGGCATCGACAATTTTGAAGATAAACCTCAGTCTCCGTGCCATTGACATTTGACATATGTATACATATGTATGAATACAGAAACAAAGTAATGGGTATCTATATTATCGAGGAAAACGTTCGGACTGGTTTTTTTTTTGCTTATGACGTGCTCGCACGTACGCAACTGTTTATCCAACCCCCGCCAGTCAGCCCAATATATACTACGTACATAAGTATTATACATATATGTATGCATATTCCACATCTAGGACCAGGAAAAGCGAGTGTGACGTCAAGGGGGTAGCCGTTTTCAACGACAAATTTAAAAACGCCAAAATGCTGCCAGACCGAATTGCGCTGCAGAATGGCAGCGCTGCCAGTCCAATGTAAATGTTGCGTCCGCATGCTGCTAGAACAGCAGCAACTTTCAAGCAGACGTTGGCAACATATATCCGTGAAAAACAGGGTAAAGTACATACTTCAATTATCAAAAAAACTCACCGACTTTCAAGCACTGGCCAACATAGCTTTATCGAAAATTTATTTATATTTACTGCGCAACATAATCTTCGCAGCATTTATTAGCAGCCTTTAAATTTTTTACCTTGTCTACAGCATGTTTTCCGTCCACATTTAGGTCCCCAGCAACATTTCGAGTCTGGGCCATGTCCCCGCCCCCGCCCCCCCCCCCCCCCCCCCCCCCCCCCCCCCCCCCGCGGTGTTTTTCTGAGTACTGGCTTTAATATTTTAAGAGTTTGTATAAATTTATTATGCTCTGGGCAAGTTAAAGAGCCCCACCTGTTCACCTTAAATTCCTAATTGTAAATTTTCAGAACAAATAAATTTTTCCTGCTGTCCATACCTTATATTTTCCGAGTCTTGTTGCCGAGCAACATTTTTAAGCACCAGCAACATTTGAAGGCGGGCGTATTTGAAAGAAACGGCCTTGCCGCCCCCCGAAACTGTGAACATGATGAAACATGTTTCGGATGTCGCCCAACTCTCGTGAACATGAATGAACGTGCCGCGGACAAGGAAAAAACAGAAAAATAGTGTCGAATGAATTCGGAAAAGTCCGTTGAAAAATCCTACAAAAATTTTCAAATTGAAATATTTGCAAAACAAAAATCACCTACAAACATATAATCAAAAAAAAAAGACACATATACATACATTCGGTATATACCTACCGCGAACAACGACAGCGCAACAACAGAAAATAGCGACCGTCGTGCCGATTACTCTGCCGTGTATCTCGTGCTCGCTGTTATTTGCAATTGTTTTTTTTTTCGAAATAAATACTGAATAAAATAATTAAGAAGTGCGTCGAGTTGAGTACGTTCTCCGGAATTTGGTTCGATTGGTTCCCTCCACGTTTTTTGGCGTCGTCGGCTGTACGTGTCTTGCTCTCTCTGTCTCTCTCTCTCCCTCTCTATCTGTCCCGCTCCGCATGCAAGCGCAACGAAACGAACAAGAAACAGAAAACGTAAACGCGTACGTACACATCTGCATATGTGTGTGTGAGTGCCGCAGCGCAATAGAAAAAATCAAATGAAAAAAACATGAGACCAGAGAGGAGAGCAGCCCGCAACCGAAGTCCCCCAAAAATAATTGTATTTTCATTATTTTTTTTGTGTGGTGCTAAATAAAATACACAAAAATATAAACAAACAAAAGAAGCGTAAAAAGTAAATGAAAAACAACTGTAAAGTAATGGCCATGTGTGTGATGGCCTGGCCCATGTACGTGTGCGTGTGCGAAAATCAATAACAAAAGGCAAAGCACGAAACATACAAGAAACGAGAGAGTGGTGTATGTGTGTGTGTGTGTGTGCGTGAAGGGGATAAAGGGGGATAAAATGAACAAGCAGCCGCCCGTGTGCCCAAGAGCAATGCGTCGCCGGTTCCAGTTCAAATCCGAATCCGAATCTTTGCAACGGCAATATCTGAACATTCGCATTCGCATCGAAACCGATTGAGAAAACAAAACGCTTAACAAAAAAACCCAAACGAAGCCCAAAGAAGGAGGATAGAGCCGAAAGGGAAGAACAACCCCAGAAGAACAATTAGTGAGAGGAGCAACAGCAGCAGCGACGCCAACGCCGACGCCAAAAGTAGGGCGACTTGCGCGCGTAAATTTGGGTCGTCGACTGCAACTGCAGCAGCAGCAGCAGAGGCAACAGCAGCACATCCAGTCAGTGTGCATTCCATTGGCGGATTTCCAGTGTTCCATCGCATCGCCCCCGCAAAGCCCCCTCCCACCACTCTTCAATCAAAATCATCGCAAAATGTCGCTGCAAACGAAACGACAGCACTGTTACTTATGTGACCTGCCCCGCATGCCCTGGGCCATGATCAACGACTTCACGGAGGCGGTGTGCCGCGGCTGCGTCAACTATGAGGGCGCCGACCGGATCGAGGTGGTGCTGGACGCCGCCCGCCAGATGAAGCGCCTCCATCCGAGCAGCAAGCGTGCTCACGAGAACGGCGAAGTGGTCGTCCTCCAGCAGCAACAGCAGCAGCAGCAGACAGTTGCCGGCCTCCAGGTGCCAGGATCGCATCGTGTAGCGCCCAGTAGCAGTGCCGGCGGACCTGGTCCGTCCGGCGCCCCAGGCGGACCCCTCTCGCTGGGTAGCAGCTCTGCGGCAGTGGCTGCAGTCATGCATCATGCCGCCGTGGCGGCCGCCTACCAGATGCCCGTGCCACGGATCGGACCGCCGCCACAGCAGACCACCAGCCTCATGGACTACCCGGTCAAATTGGAGGCGTCGCCGCATGACGGGTCCGGCGGCGTGCGACCTGTTCGCATCTCCCACATGACACCCCACCATATGCCACCCAACTCGGCCCAGAGGGCCGCCTCCGTGGCCCAGCAGCAACAGCAGCAACAACAACAACAACAGCAGCAACAGTCCCGTAGGGGGCGGGGGTATGGCCGGCGGTGGAGCCGGCAATGGACCCACGCTACCACCCGCCCTTTCCGTCAATCTGAAGCGTCCTTCCTCCGAGGATGTGGACGATCAGCAGCAGCCGCATGGCCCCCACGCCGTCGTCCCATCGGATGCGGCTGGTCCACCTGGCGTCAAGAGGAGCGCCATCGACGATCCCAGCGGCGTCCGGCCGCCCCTCACACGCGGAGAATCACTGCCCGCTGCCGTCAGCTACGTACCGGAGCGGCAGCTTAATTTGCGGGACAAGCAGCAGCCGGTGCGGGCGCCCAGCTTCGATGCCTCGACCTTCAAAGCAGGCGGTGAGTACCGTACCACAAAAACAGAAAACAAAAATAAAATGGGTTGAGCAAGAGAGAGAGAGCGAATCTTGTTCCAGTAGGAATGAATGTGCTGGTGGTGCTATCATTACGCCATAGATCGTGTGAGCCGGGGGGAGGCACTTTGTGTGCATGCAGTCTGTGCAGGGAAGAGAGCGCGGAGCAATCGATAAGGTAGGCATGAATCCAGGCCAGAATGTGAAAGCGTGATTTCTGTTGCTGTTGCCATTGCTGTAAGGTGGTGGGAGGAAGAGGGGCGCTTATCGCTTATCGGTGGGGCTCCTTATCGACGCAGGCCGCATGGAACTCGATGAGGAACTGGGCTTAGGGCAGGGCTTCGGTGGTGGGTTGGCTGTGGAGTACGATTGGATGAGGATGGCGGGTGAGCGGCTAGCGGTGTCGTTGCTAGTGTACTTGGCTGATAACCAGGTCCCGGGGAGATTAGATAACGCTGGGGTACGTACCCAGGCAGGCAGGCAGGCCTCTTATCAATCCATCCAGTATGTTTTACGTCTTATCAGAACCCTGGTTCCGCTGCAGTGCGTATGTGTGTGTGTGTGTGTGTGTGTTGGAAGCGCAGGCAGCAGCAGCCAGCTTTTCCAGGCTCTGGGCCACAACAACAGATGTGTGTATGTATCCAATACATACACCTACACACATTAACAGAGAAGCAAAATGCAACCCTCGCCTGGCAATGGGGCTGCAAACCCTTGCCATTGGCATGCGCACTACATAACATGCACACACGTTCACGTACATGTACACACGTACACGTACACGTACGTATTCGTATGCGTCCGGCTCGGCTCCCGCCACAGCTCTAACACACTAATACACGAGCATTGTCACATGCACGTACGTAATCGTAATCGCTCAAAAGGGCGGTCGATGAGACGCTACGCGCAGAATGTAATAAAAACAGAGACGTGCAAAATTCGTCGACGCTGACGTTGCCCCATGTAACTGTGTGTGCCCCCGACAACCACCCCACACCGCCATTCCCAACAATCGGTCTTTCTCTGTCACTGCTTCTTCTTCTTCTTCTCACTTGCTGCTGCTGACCGAAAACCCGTTTCGGCTGCTGGTTTTCTGTCTTCTGTGTGTATCCGCATATATGTACATATAGCTGTATGTGTGTTGTGTGTGTATATATGTATATATTTTTGTTTTTCCTTTTAGTGCGCGCGCAAAACGTCATTAAACTTGTTTTGGTTTTTATTTCGTCTTCGTCTTGTTCGGCGTTTCTGTGCTGTTTTACGCTATGTGCGATAACCGGAGTATAGATAAATTTTTTTTAGTTTGTATACGTACTATGGAACGCGTAAAGGGGGACAGAAGGGGATGGGAATACTGCAGTGACAACAATCACTTAGTAGAAGAACAAAAACCGAGAAAGATGAAGAAAAAAGAGAAACGACAACAACAACAGCTAGAGTAGTCCGAAATGCGGGGGAAAAGGCAGAGCCCGATGCCGTCATCTGCCCTACGCACAGTGGGCCAAGATAGGAAATGATTTGAGAAGAACAAAAATAATTTAAACAACAAATAAAAAAGGTTTCCATTTAAATCTGAAAATCTGTACGCATAACGATACAACAATTTGTATGTCTTTAGTAATTTGTAATTGTTAAAAAGAAACAATACTTGCAGCACTGTCATTTTTTGAGTTTTTTTTTTTTAAATTAGCTTATTACGTATTTACGTTACACTTCTTCCTATGTGTATGTGTGTGTGTGCGTGTTTCATGACCAAAATTCCCTATACGGCTATGTATACGCGTATACATGTACTTGGATGACATGGATGTATACTAAAAATATAACAAAACAATTCCACGGGTACATACAGGAAAAAACTTGTACAACGTGCGCACGCTCGTTTCCAAGCCCCCGCCATCCCCACACCCGCCCATGGGCTCCACCTCCTTTTCGTTTCGGGCTTCTTTCCGACTTCATCTTCATTCAGTGCTTCGTGTATGCTCTCTGTGCATGTGTGTGTATGTATCCCCTCCTAACGAGTTCGAGTGCGTCCAGTGTGTGTGTTTGTGTGTGTACAGTGTACACCGACTGACCATTCCAATGCGTTCGCCAGGAATTTGTCTGTGCATGCCAAGAAGGGGGTTGTGTTTGGGGGTAGAGGAGTCGTAATTAGGCAGGCATGCAATGCTTATGTATGTACATATTTATGTATGTACCTGTGTGTATGTATTCTTTTTCTCTTTCAACAGCATCAAAATCAGTCTGCACAGCGGCGTGCGAAACAGAGATGGCTAGATAGAGCTCAGAGTGGAGTGTAGTGTAGTGGAGTGCATGGCCGCTGTTAACCGTTAAACACGTGAACAAGTCTGAGCCTGATGGGGGGCGGTGCGGCACTACTGCTGCTGATAAGATAGATGCATTATTTCAACTGTTGTTACTGATGGCCTCGCACAGTGGCACCGCAGTCATGCGCCCTTACAACGACTTTCTGTGAATGAAAGCGACAATGATTTTTTTATTATACTCGTACAGTTTTATTTTTATATATGTATGCATCATTCTCCCTGGGGAGAGTGTCAACCGAGTGGCACTTAGCTGTTATAGATAAGCAACTTATCGGGGATGAGATTGCGCCATCGACCTTATCGTTCCATACATACGATACATGTACATATATATGTATTTATGTCTATGTATCTTATCATATCTCAGGGAGCCGACCATGTGGCTAGATAAGCAAAAAAAAAACTGCTCGATAAGGGGCCTAAACCCCATGACATGCGACCAGAAAGGCAAATATTCTAAAGAGCCAGCGGTGCTCTCACGGGAACGTACCGGTACTGATATCATATCATATCATATCATATCACTGATGCTGATAACTAATCGATTACTGATCGATAAGTGGCCCAATAGAACTTTCCATGATTCAGCAGCATTAACAGCCTATGCCGCCACATTCTATTTTACGGAAAACGAATACAAAAATCTCCATGGTAGAGCTTTTTCCCACTACTCTCCCGCAGACTCGAGTCGTGGAGCGATTTTGGAGCTTGACTTTTCTCATGCTCTATCTTTCAGATCATCTCTACTCAAAAAAATCTTTTTCTTGAATATATTGGTGATACGTTGAACCACTCCTGTATATTAGCAACGGATATCGGAGGATTGGTACAGTAGTACAGGGTATACATATACACTCACCACTCCATTACACTTTCGTTTGCTTTCGGCCCGGTTCTATACACACAGCTGTTTTATGTAGTATCTAATCGTGAAGTAGATGGACGAACGGGCCGGTCTGTCCGACGGGGTCTCCCCCATCCACGTCCTCTACTATCTTATCGTCCATGGCCAACTTTGACTGATAGCGAAACCTGGTACCGGGTCGTGTCTTTCCTCTCTGCCTCTCGGTGCCGTTAGTGTTGGTGTTGGACACCATGTGAGACAGAGAAATTTGTTTATTTTTCATTAGATCTCCGTCTGTACTGTATATGATTTTCCTTTGCGTTGCATAAATATTTGTTCTCATATCGATTCGAGGAGCCACTGAGGGTTGGGGCTCTGTTGAAGTGGTTTGGCATTAGGAGAGAGGAAACAAAACCAATCGATGAATCCACTTAAAATAACCCCACTTGGGACAACTTTCCGTTTCATCGTAGCGCTTTCAAGCTACGAATCAAAGTATAGCAGTGTATGTGCCCATGAGACGAATAATTGGAATTGCCCAACGAAATTCAACTCATAAACAATAACATACTTCTCCCATCGGAACACAGAGAAAGAGCTTTGGAGGGGTGTGCTAGTAGGCAGATATCTGGGGGAATGTGCGATGTGTGATGATGAGGTTGTGTGTTCCATTCATATAAACAATATGGTTTCTTTTTATTCCCATACAAAGTTGTATAAATATTGAATAGTTTATACTGTGTGCCCCCGATTCTCCTCCATAGCTCTATCTGACTCTGTAATCCGTAATCCAAGTGTAAACTGTGAATCATTGCTGCTGCGCTGCTCCGCTGCTGGGGCGTAGTGCGAATTTGTCGATCGCGGAATATGGTTCCATAGACAGGCAAAATGTGTGCGTCGTTTCGGGCAGAAAACTAAAACGGATCTATAAATAGAAATCATATTCGATACGGAGAACTGGCATCGCGAAAATGTGTGCTGTTTGTTCTATGCAAATGCATGGGCATGGGCATGGGGTGTGTGGAGTGTGTGGGATTTGGGGGAACTGGGATTCTGCATGGGGTAACAACACTTTTATAAACAGAAGACACACAACCAGAAGCGGCCGAAAGTGAAACGTGATTATTTCTCCAAAGATTGCATACCAATTGGATGCGGACCACTGTGCCGCTGCCGCTGCACGGCCTGGCCTGCCTTCATTCTCGAAACTGTATGTAACATGCGCAGGCATTTTGTCCCTCTCTGGCGTGCACTCTACTATCTGCACATTCTTCTCAATGGGCCATGTGCTGTTCTTCTCTGCTCTCTTCTCTTCATTCTGTCTTGCAAGGAGTTTGTAAATGCGTGAGTGCGAAAGTGATAGATTCGGTCGAGAGAGGAAGCTCCGTTGCATTGATCTCGGTGGCATTTATGGTTGCAGTTGTTGCTTTTCACTCTCTCGCATGCAAAACATAAACAAATGCTATAAATATACCAACGCACGCACACACATTCAGAACACACGATCAGCCACAAACACATGCATACATGTACATATGCGTATGTACGTTCATGCGTACATGTTGGGGCCGGGCCGGGCCAGGCCACACAACATGCACGACGACAATGGGCGACACCCCGAAATTGGCCATGTCGACAACGTCTTTCCCTGCCAATTTTGTAGCCATGTTGCCTTGCCGCTGCCACAGCCACTGCCGCGTAAGAAGTTAAGCCACAGAGCAACAGTTTTTTTTGTCTTTCAAATAAATAATTATAACAGCACTCACAATGCTGTGATCCGCTGGCCATTTCGTATGCAGCCCACTGTGCGGCTGCCGGCCAGGCGGCTCCAACTGACAGCGTCGTCGACATTTGAGCCATGTGCTCGTGCCCGTTGGGCATACAAATTAAAGAGCCCTGCTGCCGTCTCTGCCTTCTTTTTTTCAATATCAAGTAGCAGCAGCAGCAAAAGTAAATTGTGGCTACGCGTGCGCGTGCAATGCATACGAAAAGCGGTAGGAGTCGTGCTAGAGCAGAGCTTAACAGCGCTGCTAACAAGCAGGCAGATGTGGCAGCAGCAGGGGCCTGTTAAAACTTGCACGCTTCGTCGTCATGTCACGACGTGACGAAAAATGAAAACCCAAAGCACAGTCACAGCAAAACTAAAGCAACACTAGCTGAACACTGAAAGACGACTAACTTTAAGGCTCGAGTCTGTTGATACCCTTGATACCCCAAAAACTGTGGGATTATATTCCATAGAAAAAGGCAGACTTGATGATCAAGATCAGTATGAATAATATTTAAATACTTTGTTTTACAAAAGTGTTGTAAAAATCATCATACTTTCTGCAAGGGGTATACATAATATTCGGGCGCGCCTTTGCATGGCAGTGTGTGTGTGTGCGTGTTACTTGTGATACATACACAGTATAGCATGTCATGCATGCAAAATATAAACGCGAAAAGGAGCTGAAAGAAGAAGAAGAAGAACGAGGGAGAAGGAGAAACCGGCTCGGGCCAACAACTGCAATTTGCCGCGTTCTTCCTCTCCCTCTCTCACTTGGTTGCATGTAAACCGCCGCTGTCGCTGTCGCTGCCTCTGTCTCTGCCTCAGCATTGTGATTGTGACGTATTCGCAGCAGCAGCAGCAGAGCCACAACAGAAAGCTTGTTTCGTTTCATTTCGTTTCGTTTCGTTAATGTCGTGTCGTGTCGCGTCGTCTGGGCACATTGCCAACTGAACTGACGTTGACGTTTGCAAAAACGAAGCAAAAGAAGAATGGGCAGAATAAAGAAGGAGGAGAAGAAGAAGAAGCTGCCAAAAGCAGAACAAACAACAAAACAAAACAGACGCACACAAAAAAAAGACCAGCTGGGACTGCGCGGCACAACTGCACAGTGGAACCAGACTGCAAACATCCACACAACACAATGACACGCAATTGTGTGCTGCCATTGTGACGTCATATATCTTGAATGGGGTTGGGGTATTGGGGCTTGCTGGTGAATGAAACTTGTTGTTGTTGCTGATACTGGTGCTGTCGCTGCCAGGTTATATAAAAATATGTCTGTATGTGCCTTTGTATATAGAAATATTTTAGTGCCAAGTTCTAAAATTACATTGCAGAACGCAAGAAAACGCTAACAGAAAACAGCAGTGGTATTCCTGCAAATGTTTTTGCTTTGAAAGTTAATGTCATAAGGAAACCTGATTTGAGGCCGATCCATGATTTATAAGAGTAGTATTTGGGGATCAAAATTTATATTCAGCTTAGTTCTATCCATATATCAGTAAAATAGAAAAACTAACCAGCATACGTGTGCATGTTTCTTCAAATCAGAGAAAGAGAATTTCATTTAATTTTTCATTCATTCGCATGACAAAAAATCGAAAGCAGAAACGGGTGCCAGGCCAGGCCGTCAGTCCGCGAGTCGGCGTGTCCCATTGTTGTCCCATGACCACCACAGTGGGTGTGGACAGGCAACGCACACACATTCACATGCGCATGCAATTACATATAGCGTAGAGGGGCCAAGGCCCCACTGTACAATGGACTTGACTGCTTTGGAAATGAATGAGCACGAAAGTGCTACACCTGTACATCTATATAGACATACACACAAATATACATACAAAAAGAAAACCCCAGTATCTATAATCATCCAGAATATACATTTACCTAATCCAAACACCCATCCGCTGTACATTTCAGAGCACCTGTCCCCGGCCAGTCGACGAAATGGATCTAGCCCGCCCTCGGGACCGCTGCCCCCACGCAGCGTACACTCGCCGAATAGTTCGGGTTAGTTGTTCATTTATCTTATCGAGTAATGTTGTCATGTCATGGCTGTTGAGTGATCCTGTGAGACGACATCAGGCAGAAACGACCGAGGAGGGCTGCCGCATGACACGATAATATATAGAGATGGGACGAATTGAGATGCAAATCAGAAACCAAAAAGTGAACTCCATGGATATTTGTAGCAATTAGTGATCGACTGAGACTAGATCGTTCCAACTTATGTTTATTCCCATATAAAAGCATTTCAGGAATTGGAATTATTTGGATATTGGAATGCAGGGTTTCTTGTTTGTTAGCCAATCACTAGGACAGAACAGAAGCATTGTCATATCTGAAACTAATGTTTAATCCAGTTCCGTCTCTTTTCGTTTTCACACAGGCTCCTCGTCGGGTCGGCGCTCGTCGGGCTCCCGGCACGTGTCCAGCACAACCGTCACAAGCACAGAGGTGGGCGGTGCGAATGCCGGGCAGGCGTCCGTGCCCGGTGGACTTGGCGGCGGAAGTGGCGGCGGTGGAGGAGCCAGCTCTTTGAGCGTACCGGGCGGCGGCAGCAACTCTCAGTTGTCCGGTGGCAGTGCCACACCTGGCAACGGCGGTGGACCCTCATCGATGCCGCCTGGCGCGGGTGCCGGCGACGGAAGCTCGGCCGGGGGCAGCAATGGCGGCTCCGGCATTGGCGGTGGCGGCCCGTCCGGAAGCAATGGCAGCGGAGCAGTGAATCCCGGACCCGGAGCAGCGGCAGTCAGGGCACGCCAGGCATGGGCAGCGGCGGAGGAGCTGGTGCCGGTATCAGTGGGGCGCCGGGCGGCAGTGCAGCATCAAATTCAGCAGCGGCGGCAGCGGCTGCGGCCGCCCAGAATGCCACGCTCAAGTGCACCCTGTGCCAGGAGCGACTAGAGGACACACACTTTGTCCAGTGTCCGTCGGTAAATCATCACAAGTTCTGTTTCCCCTGTAGCCGCGAAAGCATCAAGCGGCAGAATGTGAGTATTTATGAGCTGGTCTCCCTCCACCCTCTTCAAGGAGCTGATTTTTACTGATTCTTTCTCTTCTCTCTCTCTCTCTATTTCAGGGACTTGGCAACGAGGTATACTGTCCTAGCGGGGACCGTTGTCCGCTGGCCAACTCCACCATACCGTGGGCGTTCATGCAGGGCGAGATCACCACCATACTGGGCGAGGAGGTGAAGGTGAAGAAGGAGCGCGAGTCTTAATGTCCGTTTTACTGTAAAAAGCTGCGCAGAGCTTTGGAGCACTTTTGAGAGAGTTGTGTGTGCGTGTGTGTGATCGATATCTCTCCTTCTCTTTATATCTCTCTTTTGCACACTCTTTCGCTAAGACTCTCTCTCTCGGTCTCTCTCCCTCCCTACCCATTGCACACGCCGTCCTCCCGCTGGAGTCCGCTGTGTGGGTATGTGAGGTGAGTGATGGAGAGGAGGCAACATTTTATTTTTGGGCCAACCGCAGCCAGTGACTGCGGCGGCGGTGGTAACGATAACGGTAGGAGAGTAGCCAGCATTAAAAGCTCTCTCTGTCTCCGTCTTTGTCAATGACGGCCGACCGGCCGATCAATCATCAACCAACCATAATTTTGTAGGCGTAAGCAGCATTGATGAACCGCTGGGGGAATGTTCCACCAGAAGATCCCCAAAGAAAATGAAAATGAAAAAATTGAATAAAATCAGAAGCGCAAGCAGAAGTGGAAACGGTAGCGGAAGCGGTAGAACGTGAAACGATAACACCAACAACACCAACAATCAACGATAAGATGAACCATTTTTGTAGCATACTTATGGGTGGACGAAAAGAAATGGAGCTGAGAACGAGGAAAAGCCCCGAGAAGCGAAAGAAAATTTGAAATATTTCGATCACGAAAAGAAGAAAGAAATAAAAACCCTACAACTTATACACTTAAAAAACAGATCATAGAAACAGTAAAACAGAAAAATACACTTGCTAGATATTAGATGATAACTTTCCTTTTTTTGAATACACGTAGATCTACATATAAATACTATACGATAATGATAGATTTTGTTATGTAGGCAGGCTCAATCGAGAGCGATTTCGATCATAAGTTTACCTTTAGTTTGTACTAATTACTTAATTTATTTGACTAGACGTTGCCTAATTTACTTTACACCTTTCCACCGCATGCGAGGTGGGGAGGGGGACAAACCCCAGTAAATATATATTATTATTATTATTTTTTTTTTTTTGTAATATTACTTTAATTCTTTTACACATTTGTACACATACATATATAGGATATTTGATTATTTTTTTTTTTGTATTCTTAACTAATTTAAAATTATGAAAAGAAAAAAAGAAATTGCAACGCATAATGGAGAAAATCGAAATGACGGAAACAAGAAAGAGCAATTATTATTATTGCTAAAGAGAACTGTACATACGTATGCATACACCATAATCGGAATATAAATATAAAAATACTATATTTAATAATATTTAAAAATATATTTGATGTTGAAACCAGAGAAGAAAACACCAGAACCAGAACCAGAGCCACAAACAGAAACAGAAACCATGGGCGCTTGGGCATCTGTCTGTCTGGCCACGAAGTAAAATTTTAAACAAATTTTTTAACTAAGCGAATGCCGTGGAGCGCAGATGAATCAAATCAATCACACACAAATAAGCAGCAGCAGGGCAGTCGAATTTTAGCCATATTTTTGTCGGATCGGAGATGGAAGGCATGCACCGCAATTGCAGTTGCGTTGTTGCCAGACTTCCGCTCAGCCTACCCTACCAGAAGAAGTCTGGCAACATTGTGTGTGCTCCCTTTGGAAAGTATGTATTTCGAAGTTGAATGGGGGTTTTAGCGCTGGCCAAGCGATTGATTAAGCGAATTTTGTAGCTCTATATATGGGAGCCGATAACTGAAAACGCACAGGACCAAACACCTAACCCGAACCACATCGGGTAACATTTCGACCCAAAAATAAATATTTGAAACAGGGTTTAATGAAATGTGTTTTTTGATCAGGTCCAAGTCCGTGTACACGGCCTGCGTTTTGTGTGGGACTGTGCAGTCGATCGCGACTGCACTTTTTTGCAGTCCAAACTAAACTAATTTACACGCATAATAGTACATTAATTAGTACATACGACTAGCGGTTTTTTACTAGCGAATAGCGTACAGCGCACTGCATTGGAGGAAATCGGGAAAACGGGAAAAGAGAACAAGAAGGTGTACTTGTGCCAGGTGAGGAGCCATTCTCTGGAACAGGGTGGATATCCATCAATATACAATTTTCGTGTGCACAAAAAATACATAAATAAACCTACATATAGCGGGAACATTTGCGGTATTCCTGAAAGGTATTTAGATTTACATTGAGCTTAGAAACAAAAGCAATTCCGAGGGGATTTTTACCGAGTCGTTCTGCCAACTCTTTCAGGAATACCAAGGTACATAGCTACTCATCTAACGGGGCCGGAACATGGAGATCGGTTGCGGCCCCGTTTAGGCGGGGCTTAGCCCCATTATGGCAATGAAGTAGTAGCTGTCAATCTCTGTATAACCGTCTCTAGTGGCACGTTTGCTTCGATACCATTTCCCTCCCTATATTCAGTATAACCAAGAAATTAAAAAAAATTACAACAACCAAAAAAAAACACATTTTGTGATATAGCCTAGCAAGAACATGAAGGAATAGACGGAATAAAAACAGGATAGCAAGAAACAGTGGACTACACCAGAGGGATATCAATGCTATCGCTCTGCCATTTCGAAAGGGAGAGAGGCATTTCGAGTGAAGGCAATAGATATGTGTGTGCTGATGGCAAACAATGGCAAATGATCCCCAATACTATCCGCACTCCTACGAACAGCGGCCCCAAAACGAATCAAATCTCACATTCGCAATTGACAAAAAATACGTTCGAGTACATACATACATACATATACATTTATAAACAGGAAAAGAGAAAGAGAAAATAATACCCCTGCTAGGGTATAAAAAAGTACGTACATAAATCATAAAATAGGCCAATACCAACGTTTTAGCAATCTAAGTCTAAGAAGGAAACTAAACGAAACTTTCTTTGTAACAACAACAAAAAAACAAAAGAAACCAAAAAAAAAAATTGAAAAACGTTTACAAACCTGTGCGTGTGTGTGTAATACAGTAGTGCTATATAATATAGATCATATATCGCATAATGCATCAACCCTATATAAGTACGATACATATTACAAAACAACAAAAGAACGAAAAAAAAGGCAAAAAAATATAACAAAAACAAAACAAAAACCAACTATAAAATATATTTATTTGTGTGTTTGATGTCAACTAAATGTTAAAGTCAACTTAAAGTCACGTATGTAATTGTAATGAATAGCCCAACATTTTTTGAGACGAAGCAAACCGACGATGATTCGATTTAGCATGAGTATCAATCTTTATACCACACATAAATACATACATACATACTACATATACAAACGACTATATACATACATATGTACGTATATGCATATATAGCGATATGTGTATGTGGTACGACTAAGGCGAGAGGATATGGCTATGGATATGGATATGGATATGGCTGGCTGCCAGAATGAACGGCTGAGCTGAGGCTGACGATGATGATGATGATAATGATGATAACAGAAAAACAATTAAAAATACTTTACAAAATCGAAAAAAACACCATCAAAGATATTTTCTTCCTTTTAAGTTTTTATCCCTGGGTGGGCCTCACCGGAGTCTTCAATGGCATGCAAATTTGGTGAAACAATGTGAGGATTTTTGGTGAAGATTTCCAAGAGTTGCAAGAATTTTCCCCTCCACCAAGGGGATGGATTGCGAGTCATAGGGGCTTCGTACGAGGATCCCATGAATAGGGAAAAGGCAAAAAATAACGGCCGCTTTCGATATCGATACCGATATATCGATACATGGTTTGCCAGTAATTGCAAAGTACTGCTGTTTCTCCACAGATGGCGCACTGCGACGCCTGCGTTCCATGGTTTGTGTCTGGTCGGAGTCGGAGAATTCCCGCTGTCTGGTTGGCCATTTGTAAGCCAACTGAAGCTTATCACAGTGGCAGCGGCCTCTGCTCTGCTCCTCTGTGGCCAAGTGGCGCAGCCGATTTGTGTGATAAAAATGTGAATTTGGTTTGCCGTTATACTCTAAAATACCAAGCTAAACAAAAGAAAAAACTCCAAGTGTTTTTCGCAATTACGCTTCTAGTACGCTAAGCCCATCGGTCTGCGTGGTTGTGTCAGTGTGTGTGTGTGCGTGTGTGTTCTGGTCCCAAAATGTAGGCAACAAAAACCTGAATTGAGGCTGCGAAGCGCCTGTGAGCTGTTATCGACTCGCTCTCCCTCTCCCTCATTTCATGGCATGGCATGGAATTCCTTTGCAGAGCAACGTGTTTGTGTTATACACAGGACACGGCAACACGAGGCACCGCACGGGTGCTCCAGGACAGCACAGCACAGGACAGGACCCTGACAGGACACGATTACTCTGTCGCGCCACTGCCGTGCCTTGCGCCCACGCACGTCCCGAAGAGCGCGCTCACTCTCAATCTCGCTCTCGCTGTCTCTCTTTTTGCGATGGTTGCTCTCGGATGCACAGTGGTACCAGTTCAGTTGGTTTCTAAATGTAATGAATGGAAGTTCAGGATGGGCATGAAATATTGCTGCAGTGTTTGAGATCTTGTTTTGATAGCGAGGACTTCTAAAAGAACTTAAAGAAGTTTTAGTCGAAGTTAAGGAATTGCAAGATTCCTAAATATAAATGGATTCTTTGTTTCGCTCCAGCTGTGATGCTTAAAGCTTTCTGAAATCTCTTCCTGTAGTTTGAACTGCGTTTCGCACCACAGTGTGCACAATTTTATTTTATTTTTTTGTCGTGTGTGCTGGTGAACAGAAATCATGTTGAGTCAACGTGCCAGCAGCCAGCCAGCCGGGCGCTAACCACAGCGGAAGCAGGAGCAAGAGCAGCAGCAGCAGCAGCAGTAGCAGCGGGAGCGGGAGCAGCTGGACCGGGCGGACTATTTCTAGCAGCAACACCTGACAACGGGGCTCGTAATATTGCCTATTATTAACGCAAAATTACACAAATATTGTGCGCAATTTCCTGCTCTTCACCGCAAGGTGTGCGCGAGAATGAGTTGCTGCTCTCTCTCTCTCTCTCTCAGTCGTCCCGTTTGGTTTGACAATAAAATTCCATTCACAAGTGCAACGAGAATAACAACAGTAGCAACAACAACAAGAATAAAAACAAAGACAACAAAATATGAGTGAATCGCGTGCTTAACCTAAAAGTGCATGACAAAAGGATTTTTATGCGGTGCTCACACACGCACAGAGACAGAGAGAGTGGTATGGGATAGAGAGGGAGAGGAAACTAGACTCGATTCAGGCTCATTGTTTTCTACTTCCGCTATTCCATAGACAACAACAACAACAACAAAAACTGAAATCGAAATAACAAAGAAGAAAAAATTGCACTCGAAATTACAACAACAATTCGAAGAGAAAATACAACAAATATATTGAAAAAAAAAAAAAACACTTTCAGCGTCAATCGAAGCTGGCAACCCCAAATCGAAGCTGCAGCAACAATTATCGAAATTAAATCTACAAGCGCCAAAATCCAAATTGCAACTAAGCCAACAAACAAATATCGAAATAACAATAAAAAAATAACAAATCGAAACCCACTACTATGGCAGAAATTCAAGAACAATCCATTTTGAAATTACACCAACGAGTAAGAACGAAATAAAAGCCGCAAAAGTAAACGAAATTATAGCCAAAACTAGAGCAAGTCAACAACAAACCATTTTGAAAACTACACCAACAGCTTAAATCGAAAAACCAATTGCACCAACGAATAAAATATAGTTCCAACTCCACAACAAAGTCGAAACAACAAACAAAATTGTTACACGAGAATGCTCAACAACGATCCCCCCACATAGGAAGTACCCCAACAATCGTGAAACAACTAAGACAAATTTGAACAAAAACAAAAACAAAAACAAAAAACAACAATGTATAGTTCCTGCTACGTAGCTTTTTTGTAACTGTGTATGTGAGTGCGAGTGAGTGAGGATGTTGCTGGAGCAGAGGCCAGGTAGCGTAAATGAATTCCGAGAAGCCCAAAACAATTGCCATCTCCTCGACACGTTAAGAAGACACCACCAGAAAATACGCCCCACTGAAGGAGGAGTGCCAGAGGCGGTGGCAACGGCAACGGCAAAGGCAAAGGCAGCCGGAGGAGGTCCCTAGAGCCCCAATCCTCGTAGCTAGTTCAAATTGCATAGGAAAAGGAAACCAAACCCCGCCCCAGACCTTTCTGGGAATCAAACACACACACACACACACACACACACACACACACACACACACACACACAACACACACACAAGGAACATGGAGCGAATGTGGCGGAAAGTCAACCACAGCTTGCGCAACACCAAATCCCAAGGCCAGCAACAGCAGCCGAATGCCACTAGCGCCAGCGGCACCACCGCCACTTCCACAGGGGCTGTAGCCAGTGGCGGCAGCGCCGCCACACCACAGTCCACCGATACCATCAACTCGGCGGGTGGCTTCGGCGATGGGCAGCTGGTGGTGGCCGTTCAGGGATTGCCCAGTGCAGCAGCAGCACCAGCAGCAGCGCCGTCCGCAGGAGCGGCACCCGCCGCTGGTGGGACAGCAACGACAGCCCCTGTCACTGCCACCGGGGGCTGCAATGCCACTGGGCGGCGTCTGGCCAGCAGCGGCCAAACGCTGCCCGTATCCGGCGCCAGCAAGTCGCTCAGCCAGCACGCGGCCCCCCCGTCGGCGACGCAGGAGCCCCCGGCGGTGGCACACAGTTCACCCCCAAAACCAAATTTACATGCTACATTCTTCTTTGCTATTTTTCCTTTTTCTTAAAATGCCCACCCTTGGGCCCAAAAAAACGCCGCTCCCAAATCCGGCGCCACGCAAAGTCAGCTCAGCCAGCATGCGCAGTGAAAATGGCAATTTAATTACAGTTTTAAATCTTTTATAAATTGAAAAAAAAAACCCACAATGACCGTTGTATGTTATGTATTCGCGGACCGCCTCCTCGGAACGGCGTCGGCGACGCAGGCGCAAGAGCCGGCCACGACGCGGCGGTGGCATGGGCGCCGTCACCAGTTGCGTCGGCGATCCGAGCGGCGATAATATGTCGTAAGTATCCAAATCCAACTCCAAACTCAGGGCTGGGATCTTAATCTACTCAATGGGATAATCAAAACTACATTTTACATGCTACATGCTACATTGCTCGTATTCCGTAAGAGGTACTGAGTACTGTTACTCAGTACATTCGAGGGATTCGCTTTATCCTCTTTGTACTTTGCACAGGTCGCCCAGTCCGAGGTTCCCCTTAACATTTGAATGGTTGAAGCTTCATTGAAACTCTGCTTCTACTCTGGGAGTAGCACTCTGATTCTGTGGCTCCATGAATGAGGCTTGACTGCAGTTCTAAGAGAACCTTGAATTTTCGTCTCGTTGCAGATCCTCTGGCGGCTTCTACACCCTGAAGGACCACCACCAGTACTATCGACACGGACACCATGGACACCACGCAGCCGTCGGCGTTGGAGGGTCTGGCTCCTCGCATCGCCTGTTTGCCACCTCGGCGCCCAGCGGCACCGTGATGATGTATCCCAATCCGCAGCGAGCACCCACCCTAACAGCGGCCGGTGGATCTGCATCTGCAACTGGCTCTGGACCCGTTGCCGTTGCCAGTGCTGTGGCTGGGGCTGTGGCTGGGGCTGGGGCCGTGGCCCAGCCGGACATCTCTTTGCGGCAGCGAGCGGTGGCCAAGCTGCGGATGTTCAACTTCCACCTCAACTGGGATCTGCACATGACGCACTGCAAGCCTTGCGGGTGAGTGGCATCTGGAGTTACGAGTGGATGCCACCAAGTGGCTGCCACTTGAGTCTGCTCCAGTGGCTTGTGCTTTTGTGTGCCGCAGCCCCCAGCCCGCCTCTCGTTCCCTCCCTTTCCCCACTTAGTTTCCTTAGTTTTTCATTTGTTTCCCTTGCGGTAGAGTTGGGATTGGGTTCACTTGGTCTCCATTGAAGTGCCCGGAGCCCGCAGCAGGCGTTGAATGAACCCAAATGCAAAGTGGGTCGCCGCTGCATTCCGTTTTAAATTCTCTGCCTTCAACTTTTCTGCGGCTTGTAGTCGTCGCCTGGCAATGGGGTAAGTGGAGCAGAGTTTTCTTTAGCAGGCCCCCAAATGTGTGAAATTTTAATGAAGCGCCAGCTAACGAGCTGCGGGTACGTGGCTGGGCCTGGGCCTGGGATTGGGGCTGCTGCCCCATCTGGGTGGCTTAGATAGTAGTTTAACTTTTTATGGTGGGTAATGAAGGGCTAACGATGCAGCAGCAACACAGAGAAACAGAGCACGAGCATCCAATCTCAGCCAAAAAAACTAATTCAGAGTAAATTCCCGCAAAAATATTGATTCAATATAAGGATATATATTCAGAGAATTTCATTGGTCTGATTTGATCTGAGTGTGGGATCTGAATTGGGCATCGAACAGTTAACTCGATTCACTCGGCTCTGAGCAAAGTTTTGAGCTGGAAACTCTTCAGCCAGAGACACAAACTATATACAGGATTAATATGCCATTCAGAGTCGGATTTGTTTCCCTCTCTGCATGTTAAACAGCTGATGCTAAAGATTCCTCTCCTGCTTCAAACTCTGCAAGCCGAACAGAAATAACTAAAATAAATAAATAATTATAGAGAAATCATACAGAGACTGAGGCAGGAAGGAACGGCAGGCTCATTCCATACGACTTGACTAATCCGAAACAATTGTATTGCCTTTGACAGACCCCGCCTGAGTGGCAGTGGCAACATCATCACGCGCCGCCTGTGCCGCAACCGGAGGCGGGAGGACAACGAGCTCTACCGATCGAACAGCTTCAAGTTTGAGCGCTTCGAGCGCAAGGAGTGCCTCGAGGAGCTCTCCAACACATTGCAGAAGCAGGTGAGTACTGCCACTGACCGGCATGGTGGAAGACAATTAGCCCTGAGGGCGGCTGGCAACTGCGACCGCCACATGTTGCATGCCATCAATCGTGTCGCTGCGCTGCGCGCTGCAAATTTATGCGCATAGATTACACCTAATTGAAGTGTCCAAAAAGAAAGAGAGAGCCCAGAGCCCTAATTAGTGGGGCTGCTGCCACTTGCCGAAGAGTGTGGGCTGGGGGCATGCGTCTGCCGGCTGGCTCCGTCTCAGGTGGCGTTGTCTGTCTCGGAGGAAAGTTCAATCTCCCTTTTGGACCCCATACCCCTACCCACCTATCCCCCTATCCCTATCCGCATCGTCCTGCATCCATCCATCCATCCATCACTTAGTGCCAGTGCCAGTGACGGTGCCAGTAACGGTGCCAGGGGTGTGGGAGAATCTAATTAAGGGCGCGCAACAAATTGAATTTTAATTGAGCGTCGAATTTGATTTGGCAGCCAAAAATACTCCATGGGGGATGGTGGATGGGGGGCCACAGCCGATAACAAAGTTAAATTGAAATTGAACCTTACGCAGGCCCCGGGCAGGCCAGCAAAATGTATAATTACAATTAAGGCAAGGCCCCGGCCCCCTCCCCCGCGACGTACTCGTACTGAAGTACCCGTATGGCTTCAGCTGCGGCATTCCATGCAACGATAAGCGCATACCTGGGATGGGATACTTTCTTATCTCTATCCAAAAGACATTCTAAACTCAGTGGAGTAACTCGCACATCGGCAGGCAGTGGTGTGAATATGGTCGATTTTCAGCATTTATCCCGAGACCAGGCACAAAACTTTAGCTGTAGCTCCCGCTCCAGCTTCTGCTTCGATAATGCCATTTTTCGTTTTAAAACTTATATTTTTTGTGTACTTTTTAGCACGCCTCAAGGCGGCTTTGTCTGCTGCCGCTGCAGGTTGGGGTGGGTGGGCGACTGGGTGGGTGTGTGGCATGGAGTACTCCATCAAGACGCGCGGCTAAGTGACAGGCAACCATTTATCAGCCGTCTAAGTACGCTGCGGTTTCTGCTGTCTGCAGAGCACTTCAAATCGCTGTATCGCTGTCTCGCTGGCTCATCGTCATCATCATCATCATCCAATCGCGTATGCCACGCTTGTCCAGGCCCTGCTCCTCCTGCTCTGCTCTGCTCCTTCGCCTGCATCTTGGATGAGCTTGTACAACTGCCAGCTGTCCGTTTCGATAAGCTGCGTGGACAGCAAACCGAAACCGAACACGATACAGAATCCAAAACGTTGCCCCACCTGCAACAATTCGCCCAATAAATAAGTAAGCAGCCGAGGGCTGCTGGGACTCGAGGAATCGAAGCCTGAAATACCCTAAAAGGGCTGACAATGTTCCATATTTATATTCATATATATATATCAATGCCAATAGTTTGGGCCAGTTTAAGCCATCGCAAACATACGACTCTCAGCCAGGGTATGACAAGTTCTTGTTCCGACAGGCGTCCATTTCCCCATTTCCCAAATCATTTTCTGACTGCTGGGACTTCCGGATGGATTGGATTTTGATGGATTTATCAGGTGTGGCAGTTCCAGGCAAAGCGTATCAACCAGCCCCCAGCCACAGAGCATTGATTTATGTACTCCAGGACGCACAATGACAACTATCCCGTGACTCACGTTGGGGCTCACGTGGGGCTCACGTTGGGGCACTCTCACTAATCATGGGACTCCTATCTCCTGCGAGCCCCAAGTCTTGGCACTCCCACCCATCCCCAGCCACTTGTGGCTGTCGCTGTCAATTGGATTTTCCCCCCTAAAATCTGAAGCCAACAACAAGCAGGAAATAATGCAAACACTGTGGCAACTGGAAAACCACCAGAGAGACAAAGACAAATGGCACTTGAAAATTTCCCTGGCAGCTTAAGTAGTTCAACCCAACGCCCACTCCACTTCACTCCATTTCCCTCCACTCCCCTCCACTGCCACGTTAATAAAAACTTCAAAATTGTTTCCAGGGCAGGGCCAGGGCACACATCACATCACATCACATCACCCAATTCAACGGTTCATGGGGCATGGGGAATTTTGATTCTTGTTTGGAGAATTGGTTTTGGCTTCGGTTCACTTTTCCCGACTCGAATGCAATTATTGAAATGAGATTGACCCCAAAGGTTTGATTGGCGATTGATTCAATCAAAATTTAATGTTTGAAGGAGATTCTTGTATGTCGTGTCCGTAAATGTCTGGATGGATCCTTTAAGGCTGGAATTCGGATTGAATCGGCTTTCAGGCTAGCGCAAAATCGGTCTGATGCTGAATAATCTTTGCATAAATACTCGTATTTCCAATCATTTTCAGCAGTTTCTTTCCCCACTGTTTGGGAGTTGGGAGTTCTCTTTTGTCAGCTCCTCCATTTGCTGCCTCTACGCTTGCTCTGGTTTTAATTGCAAATACGGGTATGCGAGCTTACTCGTATTCTGTGTGTGCTGAAGTTCCCTCCCTGTCGAATATTAATTGAAATTGGCTCGGGGATAATGGATTCGCGGTAATATATTATTTTTTATGCCCCAAACCCTTAAAGTCTTATCTTTTGGGTGCCCATTTCTCACCCATTTCGGTTCATTCATGTCCCCGTCTCTGCTCCATCCCTCTCTTCCCCGTTAGCCCCTCCATTTGTCACTGTTCACCTTTGGCCCATCTCCTCCCACTCTCCTCCCACTCTCCTCCCATCTTCCTGCCTGCCTGCGCCTGCCTGCCACAATGGAGTGTCGACAGGCAGCTCCATCTCTCGTCTCCTGCCATTGTCCCGGATAATTTCCATCATCTAATGCGTTATCTTCCGGCAACGAGTCGGTCCTTGTTGTGGGCTACAAGGGGGGCGGGTGGTGCGGGGGGCGGACATTACCCGCCTACGCATTATTTTTGATAGCACAATTTTGAGCATTAGAGGCGACAAGGGAAGGGAGGGGAGCTTGGAGCATCCCTGGTGCTGCTCTGGCTCGGAGATTGCTCAGTGATCTGTGTGTGCGCTGGCTGTCATTAGCCCCCAATGTCCTGGCCGCTTGTCGCTTTATTCATGCAACAATTGTTGATTGCCACCCTTCTGGTGCTCCCGCACCCCGCAGCCTGATCTGCCGCCTGACTGCCGTTTGTTGCGTGTGAATTATTGTTGGCAATAACGTGGAATTGCCTTGTCAGTCAGCAATCTGCAAGAACTGAAGGCCTGGCCTCCACTCCGTTGCTGTCTCTATTTTGACCCATGGACGTGGCATTAAGTAGCTCGAGGTAACCCCCACCCCACTCTCCATTCAAGTCCCACTGCCAGTCTTGCAATAGTTTCAATCAAAGGGGCACCAGCACCATGAAACGAGTTAATTTCCGATGCCCCCCCAAACTTGTGCCACCTCCAGCCCCCAGCTGTTTCGCCTACAAATTTAATCAAACACTCACCGGAGAGGTGGCAGGAGGAGGAACGGTGCTGGAGGTACAGATTGGGTGCCCCAATCCTTCAAACGGTTGGCGCTCTAAATAAAAAAAATAATGTCGGCAATATTCGTTCCAGGCGTTTTCTGTGCAACATTTTCCACATTCACATTCCACATTCACATTCAAATGAGATTTTCTTGCTCCACCCCTACACATGAGCAAAATCACAGGAAATAAATAATTCTGAATAATGGAGAGTAGAGGGCAAGGGAAGAGTTCCCTAAGTTCCTTCCCTTGGTACAGTTGGTGCAGAGTGGTGGAACAAGAAAACTTTCAAGCAAGCAGTCGAGTGTGCGTGCTTTTGGGGATCCTGATGCCTACAGATCAAGTGTTTGATTTAATTCTCTCCATTTAAGTCGGAGAAGTTTTTTGGACCAAGCATGCACAGGATCCATTGGGTTGCAGTTGTTGGTTGAGAGCGAAATGTGTGGATAAAACTTGGCTTGAAACGGAACGCAGTCGGCGTTTCATTTCCATCGTTCCCAGCCATTTATCAGCTGTTTTATCGTTCCATCGCTCGCGTTCCTAAATGTGTGACTTTCAGCAGTTCATTCCATTCTATTCCATTCCAAGCATTAATCCATCTCGCCGTGCAACAGACTTGAGTGTGCCTGCCACATACACCCTGCCACCCCCCCCGCCACGCCGCACTAAATTTATGTGCGCAATTGTGTTGAGTTCTGTGTGACGGCTCCCCCCTACCCTACCCACTCCATGCCGAATGGCATTACATGGCCCTTTCTTTGTGCCGCGGGGCCTGCTGGTATTACTCCTAGTTGGGTGCTCCCCGGGTTCTCTCTCAGCTCTGATTTCTGCATTTGTCGCTGCGGCTACAGTTACATGGCTGCCTCTCCTCGGAGGCTGCACCTTGGGCGGTTCAGCATTCAGCATTCAGGATTCAGCATTTTCCGTTTCTTCCGTTTCTGCTGCGGCAGGTCCCTGGTCCTTTGTGTGTTATTATTCAAAATCCAGTCAATAATACGAGACGCGATGCTAATTTATTATACAAAATACGCACCCAAGATGCTGCAAGCTGTCGGGGCGCTTTCTGGTGAATATTTCACGAAGTGGAGGGAGTGGCAAGGCGAGGCAAGGCGAGCCAGCGAATACCGTTGGTTGTTAATACGTCCCAGTGTGGCCAACACACAAACACACAAGGGGCTGTCCTCCTCCTCCTCCTTCCAATTGCGTGTGTCCCGAATGCTTTTCAATTTTATCCCTTTTATTGGCTTGGCATTTGTTGCAGCTGCTTAAAATTCATACACAAATACGAGAACATACTGCTGCTCCCAGCTTGAGTGGAGCAGACGGACCCAGTCCCAGACCCAGCCCCTGCTCAGCGCCAGTTGGTCCCACTACAAAATCCCCGCCTGGTTCTGGGGCTGTGTCTCTTTCCCTCCCTCCCGTCAACTGTCGTCTGCCCTGCCTGGGCAAAGTTTCCCTGGCGCTTTGTGCAAATTAGTTTATTGGAAATTCTTGTTTTCCATTTCGCTTCGATTTATTTCGCTCTGAAACGAATTGTTTGTGTGTGTGTGTGTGTGTGTGAATATAAATCTGCAAGGCAAATCGCATTAACTTCTTTAACTCGAATCACTTAAAGCCGATTCCCTGAATGATTTTCACCTTAAGTCCCAGTCGGGGAACTTCAGCTCTTGGGATAGTTGCGGGGGCTAATTGAATTTGTTTGTCAGTCAACTGTCAGTTGGCGTTTAGCGGGAGTTTAATTTCAGTCGCAAAACTGATCAGCTGAAGCTGGAAGTTCCTGCCACTGCGATGCTTCCACTGAGCAATGCCTGAGCCTGAGCCTGGGCCCTCCCACTTAACGTATTCTTCCATCTCTATTTCTCTCTTTTTCCCCCTTTCCCTTTGCTAATCAATTACCTTTTGCCGAGTTGCTCCGCCTGGCCATTGTGTCCTTCGACATCCTTGCTAATCAATTAACTTTTGATTAGACGAGTTTCCCTCTGTCTGCTGTTCCTGTCTGTTCCTGCCTGCTCCTGCTGCTGTTGCTGCCTTAACAATTGCATCACGACATTCTCGACTTTTCCCACATTTCTTATGCAAGAACTAAAAACAAAGTTGTAGCCCCCTCCCACCCCCCACCCCAACCCCAACCCCAACCCTTTGCTCTCCCAGAGAGTGCCCAGAGCACTTTAGTTTTGGCCATAACTTCTTAAATTTATAATATTACGTGTTATACACTCCGACAGTGAGTGGAGGAGAGGTTCTCGCACACACACACTGGCGGGGGAAGGGGCCATTAAAATTTTAATGAAAATGATGTCCGCCGGGACGGGTAGCAACGTTCTCGCATTGCCAATGACGATGACTCACCCAGAACACGGAGCACGGAGCACCACGCACAGAAGCCAGAGCCCAGGGCCCAGAGCCCAGAACCCACAAGAGATGAAGACATCCTGAGAGGAGAGAGAGAGAGAGAGAGAGCTTTAGCTAGAGCTAAAGCTAAAGCTAAATAATGTAACAGAGGGAGCTGGAGGGGGCAGACTGGGCGAGTGCGTGGCGGCGTCTTGTGCGTGCAACTGCCATATCAATATCAACAGACTCGTACTCCTACTCGCACTCTCCACTTCTCTGGCTCTGGCTCTGGCTCTTGCTCACTCAGAGGTGTACCGTGTACATCCCAGCCTGCTTCCGCACAGGTGGATTAACATTGAAATTGACTGAGACAAGTGGCAGCTGGCAGCTGGTGGCGCCACGCCACCCTTCTCGGCTCTCCCCTCAGGGACTTGCACACGCAAGCAACGCACATGAGTTGCCAGAAGCTTTAAGTTGTAGCTCAATATGAACTTTCATGATCTTTCGCATGGTGGAGAGCCTTGGAAGCAGCTCCGACGCTAAGCAGATGGATGAGAGATATTTATCGGTCATCGGTCAGCGATATCCACATTCAAAGTCTCTGATAATTCCTGCTAGCGGTGTTCCACCTCGATGGGGAGCTCGTTGCACATGGGCGGGCACAAGCTTGTGCCGCTAGAGAGTGTCAGCCTGCCTTCGAAGCCCCCTCCCCCGTGCCATCTCGTACACCGCCCCCGGCGCCATCCCTTAGCTAAGGGTTGCCGTTCGCTGTTCGCCGGAGGCGCAATGCCAAATCCGTTTAAATTTATGGCGTGTCATTGTTTTGGCATAAATTTAAGTGAGTTCATCGAAGAGCGCAGAGAGGCAGGGGGGGTGCAGTTGGTGGTACAGGGGAGAGCGTTCACTCGACATGTAGTTAAACATGCACAGACATGCATGCAAATGATTGCAGTGGATCCCTGGGAGGCGATGGCGAAGGCGGGAGCGGAGCTGCTGCGTAACTTCAGGCACGCACACACACACACATACTCTACGCTCTCTTATGGTAGCGAACCCATCCATCCCCCCACCCCCCACCAAGCAATTGTTCAGCTTCCGAAGCGGGGCCGCAACATGGAAAATAATTTATAAAATTCATAAGCGCCTTTAATTTATGAGAACATCCTGCCCCAGTCCCTGCCCCGTCGTTTGCCCCAAGCGGTTCTGTGTAATTTTAATTAATGCTAAAACGGAATGCGAATGCTAAATGCCCCCCAGAAGAGGGAAAAGCAGATAGCAGAGCAGAGCAGAGAACGCGATGAGAAGGCGACACGAGAATAGCTCAAGGAAGCAGCAGAATGCGGCAAAATCAGCGAAAATATAACCGAAAACAATACAAAAAGAACAGCAGAAGAAAGTTTAGAGACAATGGAAGAAAGAAACCTGACAGCAGGAGAAGGGGAAGAGCAGGGAAGAGCAGAACAGGAAGGGAGATGGGAGATGGGGGATGGGGGATGGGACTTTTGCAAAGGCTCAGCGGTTGACATTTCTATTCTGTGGTCTAACCGTGCCGGGAGTACAGTGGGTACAGGTGGCACAGGGTAACATGAACCGAACGCCGTTGTAATTAAATATGCCCTTCGCACAAAGATATAGAAACAATTACTATGGCCAGATATGGCTCTCCATGGAGCAAAGTATTTTCTATAAAATAAGTAAATTCCAACCGCGATCTGCAAGGGAATTGAATGGCTCTTCCTCTGCTCTTCTTTTTATTCTTTTGCAGTTGTTGCTGCTGTTGTCCGCTCGAAGTGAGGAGAGGGTCGGAACTGGGGGGCACTGAGGGGACAGACGACAGAGCCGCAGACGATGGCAAAAGTTGGCTTTACTTATGATTAATGCCATTGTCGCCTGTTCAAGTTTCCCTCGCTGAGCGGCGCTGAGTGGCCGATGGCGGTGAGCGGTGGGCGGTGGGCGGTGGGCAGGCAAGGATTGAGCTTGTTTTGATTGCAGACTTTACGACTCGAAACTCCTTAACTTAACTGCATATTAATCAGCACTTGGGTTGGGGCCTCAGTCTGAGTCTCTCTCATTCTCAGTCTCTGTCTCAGTCTTAGCCTCAGTCTCTGCCCTTTCTGTGGCTGTGGCTGTGTTTGTATTGGCAACTTCTTTTATTTCGGCAAAAGTCAAAGGCCAAAAAGAGGTGAACAGCGAAAGGGCGGACCCATGCCCCAACACTCTGGGGCGTGGCCAAGAAGTTGTTACCCCAAATTAGATACGAAGGCGGCTTCTGTTGCTGCTGCTGTTTGCTGGTGCGGGTGGCAAGGGAGTAATAAGGGCGGATAATAGGGGATCAAAATGCGCTTCGATTATGGGGCATAGCTGGAAGATAAACCCTGAGTTCTCATCGAATTAGTTGCCGGACTTTGCCCAGCTCTAAGGCAGGGATTTTCAATTGGGAAGTTTCCTGATTTTGAGACCACTTTCCCAGACAATTTTGCTGATGGAATTCCACATTAAATGGCGGCATCGAGTGTTTTGTGGGGTGTGGGGAGTTTATTGTCAATTTATTTGGAATATACAACAAAAAAAGGAATCGGATCGGATCGGGGATCAAGGATCGGGATTGGCAAAGGGAGGCCGCCCTTAGTAGTGTCTGCGCTGGCGATAGCCGGGCGGCAGATACCGCGTGTTCGGTGCCTGGACATGCGACGAGGCCGATCCCCTATAGGCGCCGCCATAGGAGCCTCCGGATGCGCGTCTGTAGATAAGAGAGGTTGAGAGAGGGGGTTGAAGGCTGCTGGCTGCTGCAACTCACCCAGCTGGGCCACCGGCGGGTGCGTGAGCGTTAGCAGCGGGCACTGACGGGGATGTAGGCAGATGTGCGCCCTCGGCGTGGAATCCGTCCTTGTCCGCCTTGTAGTTCACCGTGTACTGCTGGCCATCGTCGCCCGTGTAGGAGTAGGATCCGCGCACGCCCAGCGAGCCGTGGGGCCAGCCCCCACGGAACTCTCCGGTCTCATCGCGATGGATGCCGTTGCCCGTGTCGAAGCTGTACAGAGAGGATGGAGGAGCCAGTAGTGGATTTGGATTAGCAAATTTCTTTTTTTTTTTTATCTGTGGGTTTCGCTTGCTCCTTGGGGTACGCACCCAAAGTTGTAGTTGCCGCTGGCGTCGCTCTGGTAGTCGCTCCGCACGATGGGAATCTGCGGCTGCTGCTGCTGGCGCTGATAGCCCGAGGCAGCAGCTCCAGGGGCGGCAGAGCGTCCATGTCCCTGGCCACTGACGCCGTGGTAATGGAGCTGCGAGGCCTGGGACTGGGGCTGGGTGCTGGGCAGATAACGCTGGCTGAGGCGTCCGGCCAGGGTCGAGGCGGGGGCGGCCAGGAGCAGGCTGGCAACGGTCAGCAGAGAGCGCCACATGCTGCACGCGCTCAAAACAAACACACACAAAAAAATACACAAGAAAAAAAATATCACCAAAATTAATGGAGTCGAGTGGCAGAGGTGGCAGAGCAGCAGATGGAGCGCGGGGAACGCTTGAACGGCGACTGTTGCTGGCTCTGTCGAAGCGTTTTGGCTTTATAGTCTCGACCACGATGTTGGCCCGGCCAACAAACATTACCACACACACAGACACGGGGACAGCCACTGGAGCAATCCGTGCTCAATTTTAATTGTTTTTTGTTCAACTTCTTGGACGGTTTTTTTTTTGCCGGCTTGTGTTTGTTTTTTGGCCATTTAATTAGCCCAAAAGGCAGACACGACTGCCGCTGCATCAACGAACAATTTTTGGAATAGTTTTTCGCTTCGCTGCGCTCTCTCCCTCTCTCTCTCTGCCACTCCTCAGAGTGTCGTCTCCTGCATGGAATGTGTCTTTGTCTTGTTCTTGGGTCTCTTGTCGCGGGTGGACTTGGCCCACCCACCCCTTGGTGGGTCGGTTTGGGTGCGGCTGAGGTGGAGGACGGAGGTTGGAGTGCAACCCGCTGTTGCGGTACATGCCACTTGGAACTTGGTCAAAATGCTGCGCCTAAACTAATTATAGCAATGGCAGCGATGGCATCCATTCTCTGCCCCTCGGCCACTCCGCCAGTCAGTGGCGTAGTCTCGCAGAAGTCGCAGAGGGGGTTCAAGTTCGTATTCCATTTGCCATGTAAGAGTCTCCCTCTCTCTCTTCCTTTGATCCCCATTCACCCGACTGGCCGCTTCTGTCTGCTATTATAAGCAGAAATCAAAAAAGGCGAAGAGTAGAAGAGTACAAAAACACTCTTGCGGAGTTCCGGTTCGTGGATGGAGCGAATCGAGTGCCCTCCTCACACACTCGAGGGCCATTTTACAACAAGCGGCAGCCCCATCTCGGATTCTATCAAAACAACTTGAGAGCTGGACAATAAACGATGGGCTGAGCTGGTCTGAGCTGGTCTGAGCTGGGCTTAGCTGAGCTGCTGTTAATGTTGCTGTTGATGAGCAGATGATGGAGATTAAGATCTGTTGTGGATGCGATGATAAACCCAAAGAAAAAAAAGATAAAGATAGAGATAAAGAAACAGTAGCCGCACCATCCAAGAGATTCTCAATATTCTGATGATGATAAATGGGTGTATTCCCCCTTGGGGCGGGTGGTCAGCGTTCAAGATCGAACACAGAATGTACTCGCAAATGTTCGTGGCGATGGATAACTTTTACTTTTGCTGTGTGGCAAGCGTATTACGTGTGTAGTAATCCACACAGTACACCAGACATTCCCAATTAGGTGGGGGATTAATGTTTAAAAATAGTTTTGCAACATCATCGCGTAGCATCGTGAAGCTCTCCCGCCCGCGGACGGACTGCAGTTGAACCCAAAAACAGAATTAGAATTCGAATTCGAATTAGAAACTGGTTCCCCCCAAGCCCAAGCCCCAATGGCTCGTTATGTTATGTACGAGTATTCTGCGGATTTTCCATGGTGCCAAATTCAATTCCCTTGCTTGGTATGTATATCCGCAATTATGATGTGATGATCAATTATGATCGCAGTGAATTTGTTATTGCTGCTCGCTGGCGCTGCTTAATAATTTTGATAGCTAAGAATAAACAGCAAAAGCAAAGAGCCAGCTGGCAGGCAGGCCGGCAGGCAGCAGGCAAAGCTTCATTAATTAATAATAATATTAATAAATGATGAACATATCGAATAAAAGCGTGAAAAGTGAGGCTTCAATGCTAATGATGCTTCGGGCTAAGATCGATCATTAGTGGCTTTGTTTTACTGTGCCCCACCGGCTAGTTGGCGTCCAGCTGCAGCCCCACAACTCCCCTAACCAAAGCCCAGATGTCAGCCCCCAAATTGAACGCTTCGTTGACGCCTGAAAGTGTATAATGCACAGTTACTGCTACGACACTCGCTAATGCCGTCTCATTATGTTTCATTAACGGTGACTGTTACCAGTTACCTCTTACCTCTTACCTGTACACCAATTCAGTTCCCTCCTCAGCTACAGATACGGAATACGGAATACGAGTGCATATCTACCTGTCATCCTCCTCCTCCTCCTCCTCCTCCACAGTTCTGTTGTGTTCTTCTGTTACTCACATAATTTATGCAGCAGCGGGGCAAAGTTTTCGTGTTGCGAGTCCCCGGCTTAAGCGCTTAAGCGGATGTAATGCCAGCCGCAAATGAACTTGTAATTTACTCGTGCAATGCATCTGACACTGACGGGGCTGACGACTGACGGCTGACAGTACTCTGCTCGGTACATCTGTTCGGTTACAGCTGCTCGGTACAGCTGCTCGTTACAGCTGCTCGTTACAGCTGCTCGATAGTTGTTAGTTGCACTTGCACAGCAGTTGCTTCTGTTCAGTCTCGTAGGATTCGTCGTGGGATTCAATATTGGTTTAATTTTTTAACCATAGCAGCAGAAGATCGAAAGGTAGAACACATCATTGTGGGCGGAGTCGCACTCGTCTGTGGCTAATTGAATCATGAAATCATGAATGAAACAGAAATTTCTTCATTTTTTGCACATTTTCCCTATTGGAACTTAAGTAATCGCCTTTAAGAGAGATGCAGCGATAAAGGAGAGACAGGAAGGGAGCTGGAGAAACGCAAACATTTGCGTAGGCCAGCAGCAGGAGCAGCAGCAGGAGCAGGAGCCTGTTCCACTTCCATAGTTCCCATAGCTGCTTTCGATGCCTGTGCCGCGATAAGAACTTCAAGTAGTCATCGACTTCCAAGCGGGGGGGTTGGGTTGTTTTGGGTTGCTTTGGGTTGGGTTGGGTTGGGTGCTTTGCAGAGCAGGAGAAGCTGCCAGGGGTGGTGGGCTAATGGGGTTTTCCTCTCCTGTTCTGTCTTGATGCTGTTGCTGTCAGCGTTCTTATCGGACTCGCTCCTCTCCTGATCGACCTGCCCCGTTGTTTCTGTTTCCGTTTATGATTTTCCCTTTGAACTTTTCTACGCTCGCACAACAGACAACGGAAAAAATGTCAAATTCAGCTATTTGTTTAATTGAAAGTAAAGCAAAGAAAGCGAAAACGAAGACGACAGAGAAACAGGAACAGAAATAGCAGGAGCAGGAGCAAGAGCAAGAGCTAGAGCTAGAGCATGCCCTCTGGCCTTTAAGAGAGGGCGTATCCAATTGTTGTGTGTCATTAATTTAAATTAGGGCTCGATGTGCCGTCCCCCCATTTTGCATCGATTTGCTACTTGGCTGAATGCTCAGCCGAACGAATCATCATCATCATCATCATCTCAGCCCAGAAGCCACCATCAGTCAGGCCTTGCGACAGGGGATTATGCGATCATTCATTCATTGAACTCACTTGCAATATATTTAAATCTGTTAACGCAAATCAAGAAGATATACTATATAAAGCCATTCTTTTCCTCTCCATCTGTGCACTCAATTTATGTTCCCCAGTGGGAGGGGCCTGAAGTCCGAATGAATATATTTCCCAACATACTTGCCCCACCTGGATTTGTTGTGTGCTTTTGCTCGATTCCGAAACAGATAGAATATCTCTTGACGGCTGGCTCATCTCCTCTTTTAGCTATCGCCAAGTGGCCAAGTGACCAATGACCTCAGCAGTTGGCTTTGCGTTCCCCTCTGCCCATTGGAATCTCCACTTCCACATCCACATCGAAGCAACTTTAACTTTACTCTTATCGGCCACAGCCTGGCAACAATAACAATTTGTTGCTAATGCACATTTCTGTTTCCTTAACACACACATGCCCCAGCCGCAGCCGCAGCCCCAGGCCCAGGCCCAGCCCCAGCCCTTGCCCCCTACCCTTAGCAGCCTCATCCCAATATCCTGCTGATGGAACCCCCTGCATGGACCTTGGATGGCAGCGGGAACATGAGCTAAACTACTCATTAAGCCAACTTTGGCGCTTGTCCATATGAAACTCAAGCGATTTGTCCAGACTCAAGGATGGGGTTGGCCTCAATAGAGTTGGCGAATGGTTGGTGGATATGTTGTACATACATACATGCTGGGTGGATGGGTGGATGGGGGTGGGGTGCTTAGGGCTTAGGTGGGAGAGGATGAGTTTATCCCCAGTGCTATGTTTGATTAAGCAATTCCAGGCGGAAATTAAATGGACACGCAAAACAAACTCCGAGCTGGCCACCAGGAAAAAAAGGGTCAGCCTCTTAGTTAGAGAGAGAGAGGGAGACAGAGAGAGAGACAGATACTCGTGGCTGGATTCTCCATTTGGCCTGACTCCCCTTGGGGGTGGGGTTGGGGTTGGGGTGGTGTCTCTATCAAACTTAACTGAGCAGCGCTCAAGTGAGAAGATTAAATCGCCATAAATATTAACTACAGTTGCTTCCTGCAGGTCAAAAGTGGGTTGGGAGAGATGATAAGGAAGGGAAGGGACAGGGACAGGGGAAGGGACAGGTGGAAGGTAAAGTTGGGTGGCAGCTGGACCTCGATGTGGACCTGGGGACCTGTGCAGGGTAAAGGTACATAAGACAATTGGAAAGCGCTTGCCTTGATTTAGCACCGGAAGGCACGCACATCACGTGCGACCCCGCCAAAGGTCCTACAACTGGTCCCCTGGTGTTGCCACGCCTTTACCGCTCGCCCGCTCATCCTCCCACCCTCTCCCCCCATGGCAATGGCAATGCCTTGGGGCAAGTGTACAAATCAAATGATTTATTGGTGCAACCGTGGAACTGGAGCATCTCGCGTGAGAAGCCACCAAATAATTGAAACGTACGCATGTCAGTCTGTGACGAGAAAGAGGGGGGAGGCATGATCCAGGTAGAAACATGGGCGCTAAGGGAGTGGGGAATACTCGTAGCATCCTTTAAGATATACTTTCTATGTGAGGATTTAACATTAAATTTACTTAGTCGTTCGTGGGAATATCGCAGAAGTTATGTCTACAGTTTCGTGCTAATTGCTGTCCAGCAGTGGGCGATGGGCGTTGCGTGGGTTGGAGATGAAATGTGGCAGTTATACGGAATTTTCCACTACCCCTACCCCTGTACACCCCTCCTCTGACAGTCTTTTGAGAGCTAGCCCGATTGCATTTGCCGTTTGCTTTTGGCCAATTTGCGTTGACTGGAAGCATTCGAGTCA